CACAGTTCACTTTTAGTTGTATTATTTTTAGTACCAGTATTATTATTACAGAAATTCTTGAATGTATCATTTTTCGTTTTATCCCAATGCAAACAGCGTTTATTGAGGGTTGATTCACATTTATTTTCGCTATTGAGACTTCCTCTTAATTCATACATAAGTTTCATTTCTTGTTCTTGTGTTTTACGATACGATTTACAGCTCTCCTTCAGTTCTTCGCATTTTCCATTCTTTCCATTATTTCGTACAAGTTTTTCACAGCTCAACATAAACTTATCACAATAAGGCTCCCATAAATCACATGTAGGGCCCTTTACGCTTGCATTATCATTCTTCACTTGATTTAGAACGTCTTCAATATCTATATTCTTTTCTAATACAGAACATTTAGATTTAATGTCTCTAGTAATGATTTGACAAGTAGTGACTAATTGTATACACGAAAAAATAAATCTTGTTCTCTTTTTTTTAGACCATTTATTACATTTTTCTGAAACTTTTTTTATACATGTATCTAAATTGCCTAAATTTTCTACTTTTTCTTCTAACAAAATTTCCTCTAATTCCTTAGCATTTTCCAAATGATCACATCGCCCTTTCAGTGTAAAACATGGTAAGTCGTTCGTTTTTGAATCATGTCCTAACACTTCACATTTCTCTTTTAGTTTTTTGCAATCTTCTTCATTCGGAAAATCCCTTTTCCAATCCAGATCGTTTCTAAGCCACTTACTTTGTCTTTCGATATCATTTGCAAGTTCCTTACAAGTATCCCATGGGTGTAAACAAAGATTCATTAATACAGGATTATTATTGCTAATTATTTTCTTACATAGAGTCCATAGTTCATTTATGCATGTTTTAAGCGAATTATTTGTTAAATTATGCAGTTTTCCTTTTAATGTATCCTGAAATACTTGATACTCTTTTCTGAAAAGCCGTGTTTTTAAACATGTTGATTCTACATTGATGCATGCACTAAACATTTTAATATTCACGCTATTACATGATTTCTTTAAATAAAAACATTTTGATTCTAAATTTATACAAAGCTTTTCATTAAACTCTGTAGATTGCTTGGTCCATCCTATAAGTGTAGCATCTTTATTGTCTTCATTAGTATCTGATAGCGATGAATCATATAATTTTGATTTAAAAAACCTGCATTTAGATTTCAATTCTTCTTCTAAGGTATTACATATTTCTTTGCTTTTATTCATTTTTTCCTTAGTACCGTTATATAAATCCTCTAATTGAGGTAAAAAGCTGCAAAGTTTATGGCAACTTTTAATATTAGTTTCACAACTATTTAAATAATTATTTGATAATAATACTAAAAGATCAATTGTATCTTTTATCCCTGGTTTTCCAACTTCGTCTTTGAATAATTTTTCTTTTCCAACTTTTTCTATTAATATAATTTCTTTTCCTATTGGGTTAAATGGTAAAGAAGAGTGTTTGTATTTTAGTTCTTTTTCACATCTTTTTTTTATTTCTTTACACATATTTTGAATACCATCGCAATCTGATTCATGAAAGTTGCATTCCTCAAATAATGAAGTGCATTCTTCTTTTGATATTTTATTGTTTTCAATAAAAATTTTTGTTTTAAATTCTAAATCACTACACTTTTCCCTAATTAATCTTATGAGATCCTTACATCTATTAAAAGGAATTAAACAAAACTCCATCAATTCATCGCTTTCTCCCATGAATGCAAGACATTTTTTGTCAATTATTTTTTCACACTCTTCTTCAGTCTTCAAATTGCCAGATAAGGCTCTTAAGAGAAATTCTGTTTTTAAATCATCTCGCCTTTTTTCTCTACATGATGTTCTTAAATAATTGCATTCTTCATTAACTTCTATTGGACATGCTTCTTCTATACGCATACATTCTTTTTCATACAAACAATAAGAACTTATGGACGGTTTACTTCGGATACTTTTTAAGCTTTGTTTAAGTATAGTACATTTTCTTGTAATAGTTTTTTTTAAACTATCGCACTTTTCATCTAGTTTTTTTTCTTCGCATAGTTCTTTTAATACACCGAAGGAGCTTTCTAGCATTTGAGTCATATTTCTTAAATTTTCACAGTATTTTCTTAGCCTTGCTTCACATTCAGTATTCATTGCATCTTTTAGAATTAAAGCAAAAATATTTTCTTCACTAGATAAATAATTTGTTAATTTTACAAGTTCTAGTATTATTTAAAGGCTTTTATACGTTATACGGAATAATGGATTTTGTGATGGGTTTTGTGACGAATTTTGTAATAGATTTAAAGATTCTTTATAAGTAGATTCTAGAAAAAGTTAAAAGTCTAAAAAAGTAAAATATAATACCAATGTTTTTCGAGAAAGCATATGCTATGCCAAAAAAGTTGACTAATGCAAATGCTTTCATCTATAATGATAACAAATAATAATTTTTATAAAAAGTACTTCATATTTGACATCGAAAAAATATCTTAGTAAAAAGTATCGATAAACGATAATAATAAAATACAATAAATAGGCAAATATGTACCATTTTGAATTGTACTGTATTGTACTTAGATATTTTGACTCTCGTTGGGTTTTTAATTTTTAATATTAATATGTAAATTCTCACAAAAAAATATTTTTAATAAAGATTTTAAATAACAATTTTATTAATATTTTTTATGATTTTTACTCTCTAATACTCTCTTTATTATTATTCTCTATCTTTTACTTCATTTTTATAGATATAAATATAAATAATATTGTCTTGATTTTTTCTACATTTGTCTTATTTTTTGAATTTAACTTTCCGAGTGCTTCTAAAAAACTTGAAAATATAGTCAAGATTTTCACTTTTTATTTTTTATTTAAAGCTATTTCATAAATTTATTCATTTTTATTTTTTGCTCTTGGTTTTAAAGTTGAAGTACAAATTTTAGGTTATTCATGTCATTTTTTGTTTTTTTAAACTTTTTGTTGATTTTTCTTATTCTAGAGTAATTCAAGTTGTAAAAATGCTTTTTAAATAATAATGATTATGACTTTTAAAATTTATTTGTACCTTTGTGTGTTTCAGTTTTTGGTTTAGGATTTTTATTTTTTTTTTATTTCGTACAAGTTTTGTACACTTTTAATATTAATAAATTTCAGTATATTATTTTATTGATTTTAACTTTTTTAATTTTTGTTTTAAATTCTCTTGTTCTTTAATTTTTTTTGAAATTTAAAAAGAATTTTACATTGATCAATTCAAAACTTAATTCTTTTTAGTTTTTTATGATGTATAAGACATATTTTTTTAAAAAATATTCATAATTTTTTGAATTTATAAATGTTTCAAACATTTGTTTTTGTAATGATCATTTTTTAGTTTGTATTTTTTATAGTTTTCATAACTCATTTTGTATTTTATATCATTGGCTTTTCATACAATCAAATTTTTAGATATTGCTGTAATATAGATTATTCTACAAGTTATTATTTTAAACATTTCTTTTAAATATTCTTTTTAGAAATGATAACGATTATATAGATATTTATGCATTCATTTGAATTTTTTTTGGAGTTAAAAGTATACATTTATACATAATAATGGTTAATTTTAAAATACGCTTTATAGTTTTATTTATGTTCAAATGTCTCTAGAGTAGTATGGGGCAAATCAGGAGTAAATATAGATAATGCAAAAACGAATAGAAAATATAAGCATGGCTAGTAAGAAAACGGCTTAGTGAAAAATATAGGTCAATTATAGAGAAGAGAGTTTTTGAAAAAAATTCAATCTAAATTAACACAGAAGAGACTATTTTTAATTTATTTTGCAGTTCTTGTCATTTTACTTGCTTGTCTAAACATGCATGCTCTCTTCTAAATTCTGCTTATACATTTCTTAAACGTTCATTAAGTGCTTTTATTTATTAGCGTAAATAAATTTTTTTTAATTAGAATTAAAAATAAGTTTTAATTTAAAAATTTTTTATTTGAAATGATTTAAAATTTCATTGAGTCAATATTTTTAGAAAATAAAAATTCAAAAAAAAATAAAAAATGTCTAAAATATATTTTCTAATACAATATACTTTATAATACATTTTATGTAAATAATGAGAGCAAATATAAAAATCTCTATTTATTATATAAATATATAATTTGTTTTTAAAGACTTTTTTAAAAACTAATACTGAATAACTAGTTTAATGCAAAAATATTAAAAATAGGATTTTATTTTCTATTTATTATTTTTAAAAAAATTATAATTTTTAGTTTTAATGTATTTTTGTTTATAAAGAAACTTTTTTATGAAAAAACTAACCTATAAAATTAATTTCATTATCTATTTTCTAGATTATATTTGTGACAAAAACCAATACTCTACATGATTCAATGATAATGCCTTATGATTTGATCAGGTTCCTAATAATTAAATTTTAATTTTACTGTTTTATTTTTGATAGTTATTTGGTTTTTAATATTGTTTATATCCTTATTAATATATTTTTGAAAAATAATCAACAACTTTTATAATAACATTATTATCAAAATCATATTAGATTGAAAAGCAATAACCCAAATTACATTCTGTTTAGAAGATACAGTTTGTGAGTCAAAAATAAAACTGATTTAATTTTAACATCAAGCCGACTTACTAAGCGTAGAATCTTTAAGTTTACTATAGTTTATGTGACCACTGTAACATGCTTCTTCCAGCATTGTACAATTAGTAATATTCTTAAAAATGTCTGATAAACTGTGACATTCATAAACATAAGATGCACATTCCGTTAAAGTAGGAGGTTCTGATACATATAGTAAGCCTCTCTTTAAATCACCATACCTTGCTGAAAAATCATGAAATAATCTATCAAGTAAGTTACCTGGGGAAGTTATCGAGGCGGGGGGAGGGGGGTGATTAGGGGTAGGGTGTAAACACCATCTAAATAAGACCTCGTTAGTTCCTCCAAACTCAGCACATATATCTAGAATAGGCTGGTGCAACTTAGAAGTATCAGAAGATTGAGGTAGATGAGATTGATTAAAAATTCTAAAATCACTGGGTGATAATTTTTCTTTGAGTTTTTTCCAAAAATTATTCAAGTGAAATCTTTTCACACCCAGCGTATAACATAGAGCTTTTACATTTTCACATAGACTTTTAATACCAGAACAAACATGTTCAAAATAAATGCATTCTTCCATAAACATTTGACATTGAGGTGTAGTGATAATGTTTGCAGTGCTGTTCCATAGTATAGTCCAAACACCATTTGCAGAAGTAAGACCTAAATTTTCAAATGTTTTGTTTAAATTGATACATGTATCATTGATGCTTTTATCTAAATTATCGCATTCATCAGTTCGTTTACTTTTACAATATGCATCAAGATTAGGAAATACATGTTCATGAGTAGTGCAACCATATTCAAGAAATTTTTTACATTTTTCCTTTAAACTGGAACCACGTCTTATTAAGGATGTTCCAAATATTATAAGAAGAGTAAGATATGGATTTTTATAAGGTAATGAAACACTATTTTCTCTTTCGTTAGAAAAAAATAAAGTCAAATTTATGTCTTTAAATGTCGGTCTGCATTTTCCTAAAGAAAGGTTATTTATAAACAGCATATCTGGATCAATTTCTTTAGTGCATTCTTTTATTAATGACTTGCAAAAATTTTTTGTTGTTTGGTTACGACAATGTAATAATAAATAGTTCTCGCAAACGCCAAACAATGAGCAATTATTTCTGGCTATATCTTTCTTATAGCCTGTAATATGAAGATCCTCTGAGAGAAATTCTTTAATATAATAGTCAAAACATTGACAAGTAAAGATAACGCTTTGAGCAAGGTGTTTACATGTATCCTGTATTTCAAAACATGATTCTACCATAGTAGGCCCGAAAGAGGTTACACAATGACATTTGTCAAGAAGACTGTCAACACATTGACTATAGTTTTCAAGTTCGTTATGTTTTGGATTATTACGTGCTAGTTCATTAGTTATTATTTCTTCACCTATAAATTTCAATAATATGCTGTTTTTATTATCTTTTGTATATTTCTTATAACAAAGCCCATTAAATCTAGCACATAAATCGCCAATCAAATCACGACAAATTCTTTGAAAAACTGCACATAACGTTCCATAATTTTCGCAGTGCTCTGCTTCTATTTTTGTATTCTTCTCTCCCAGAAATAAATCTTCACCTAAATAATAATAATAAATGAGTTTTCCCTTTATACCATTACATTTTGTAAGTAGGTCCTTTCCAATAGTACTTGTCTTAGTAAATAGACCCTCACAATAACTATTTCTTTTATTTAAGTCACATAGTCTTTCTAGTATATCAGTAAAATTTCCTTTTGGTAGTTTTCCTATGAGTTTTTCACATAAATATTTTAAGTATGTTTTACATTTTTCTTCAGTTGTGATAGAATCTTCTAAGATAAGACTATACATAGAAGTATCATCGTCTAAAACAATAAACCATGCGGATGAAGATAATAAGCGTCTTGATAAGGAACTAGTTAATTCAGAATAGGTTGATGAGCTATAACTTCTAATTTTTTTTGAAGTAAATAAATTTAAGTTTTCTTTTGATTCTAAAAGATAAAAATTAAAAAAAAACAAAAAAAAATAAAAATACCATAAGTATTAATGCCTTTCGAAAAAGCATATGATATTGTGCTTAAAATCACAAAGATCACAAAGAAAAAAGCTTTCATTTAGAAAGACGACATGCTTCAGTTGTCTCCATTATGAATTTAGTATTAATATTATTAAATTTGGTTTCAGATTTTAGAATGAAAATACAAATTATTGAATGTTAAATTATTGATATTATCTTTAGTTTCCTAATTAGTTACAATATTCTTATAAAAATATAAAAAAATTTGATTTTTTACAAAAGTTATAGTATGAAAAATATGGCATTAAATATAATTTAAACTGTATTTTATTTCAAATAATAGTATCATTTTTATGTATTTTATGTGTTTTTTATATTCTTTAATTTCAATTATTCTATTTTTCGTTTATCGTTTTAGCAAAATTGTTAATTTATCTTTAAATTCTTATAAATGATTATATTTATGGAAAATTACTCTTTTATTTTTGTTTATTTCTTAAATTTATTGTTTTATATTGTATTATTTCATTTTATCTTAAATATGATATTAAAAGAATTACTAAAAATGAAAAATTGTAATCTCTTACAAGTATGAGGGTGTCCGATATGCCTTTGAATTGCGTCTGAGTAAGCTCCGCAATAATATGGGGTAACTGTGGAGTAAATAGAGAAGTAAATTTATTAGTGGATTATAAAAGTAGCGATAAATAACTGATAAAGAAAACATGAATTATAGAGAAATCTATTGTAGATTAATGAAAAGATACTACTCTTTATTTTATTTTCTAATCTTTTCCGCTATTTTTCTTGCTGATTTCTTTTAAATACACGTGCCCTTTTTCAACCTTTTTTATCCATTCATCTTTTTAGATCATAATCGAAATAACTGCTACTATTACTACTTCTTTTGTTGGATTTTATTCATCCACTTTCGATTTTCTATTTTGCTTTATATCATTTGGTTGTCCTCTTGTATATCTTCCGTAGATTTAGAGCTTTGTCAATATTAACATTACAGTTAATGTAATTGCATATTTATTCTAAATTTATTGCTTTCTTCCATAAATATAAGACATTTTTTATCAATTATTTTTTCATAGTCTTCTTCAGTTTTTAAATTGTTAGTGAAAATTCTTAAAAGGAATTCTATTGTCAAACTGTCTTGTCTCTTTACATGATATTCCTAAATAATTACATTTTTTTTAAGTTCATTCGGATAAACTTTCTTCAAGAATATACATTCAGATTGCATAATACATTCTCGATTGTTTAGTAATGATTTAGTTTCTATACCCTTTAAATTATGTTTAAGCGCTTTACATTGTTCTATAAGTTGTTCTTTCAAATAAGTGCATTTGTTTTCTAAGTCAGTGTCTTTACATAGTTTATCTAATTGTGAAAAAATGTCACTTAGTACTTTATTTATATTTTTAAAATTTTTGCAGTATTCTTTTAGTTTTATTTTATATTAATCATTTGTTACATTTTCTTTTAAAATTAAAGAAAAAAATATATTCTTCACTGTATAAAAAATTTCTCAATTTTATGCGTTTTGATGCTATTTAAAGACTTCAGACAGTATTGGAATTAATGATATATTTAGTAATAGATTTAATGAAACATTTTTTATGAATAAATTTTATAAAGTTAAAAGGAATAAAACATCAATATTTTTTGATAAAGAATGTGCTATTTTGAAAAAATTAGTTAACACAAATACTTTCATTTATAATAACAAAAAGTTAAAAATGTTTTATATTTAATTAAAAAATATTCAGAAAATTCTTAAATGAAAAATCGATAAACGATAAATTAATAATGTACAATAATAAATAAATATTATTTTTTATTACAGGTGGATTTTTTAATTTTTTATTAAATATATATTTTATAAGTTTATTTAAATGTTTATATAAAATTATTTTTAAAATAAAGTTTAAAACATAATTTGAAATAATATTTTATTTTAAATATATTTTAAAATCTATTTTCCGATATTGATTTACACTTTTATTTTAATAATAACTTTTATTTTAATAATAATTTTTTTTATATTTTAAGTATAAAATTATCTAATCAAAGATAACTAATTAATATCGAACCCAATTTTAAATAGGATTAATTTTCTATTGCTTTTACGTTTTACGTGTATTCCCGCTATTTATGTTCATGATTTCTAAATATAATATTTCTAATTGTTTTGTCTATAATAAATATTTAAACTATGAATGTTTAGTTGAAACATGTTTATTCATCTAATATGTTTTATTTCAAATAACTATTGAATAATTTTTATGATATTGTTTTTCGTATTGTATTTTAATAAAAAATCTTTTATTACATTTATAAGTATAAAAATATGATCAAATTCTTGTTTATTTTTCCCTATTTTTTACTTTTTAACTTTATTATCAGACTTTTTTACTGGATTTTTTTAAAAACTGGATTTTTTTTTATTTTTAGTATGTATTTTCAATTGAAAGTTATTACAAATATGATTATTTATTCTTTAATCACCTTTCATAATCTTTTTTAGATTTCAGCATGGAATAGAAGTAATGTAAACTTAATGTTATTCTTTCTTTTCAATTTTCCTATATATATAATGATATTGTAAATATCTTTTTAAATTTGCTCTATAAGTGTATATTTTTGTATTTCACTCTCAGTTTCATAATAATGTTTTCAACATTTTTTTACTTTGTCAAAAGCTCTATTTTTGTTTATGCAAGATCAACATTTGTATTGTTTTATAGATGTTTAGAATTCTGCCTTATTTTTATTATTATATGGATTTGTAAGCATGTTTTCATTTATTTAGTATTTATAGTATTTATTAAATGCTTATTTGTATACTGTCTTATTTATAAAACTCTAAATTTTGTTGTAATTATGTTCTCAAAAGTTTTATTTGTACAAAAAAGTAATTTATAGGTCTAACTTTCGAATGTCCTAAAGCTTATTTCTCTATTAGATTTTAAATTATTCTTTGTCTGAAGGAAATACTCTATATATCTTATTTTTTAACAGATTATTTTCTAATTTATTATACTCCTTATAATATACTTACCCTTTATTCTTAGATTTTTTAAGAGGATCTTAGTATAATAAAGAAAATTTAGTTTATGTAATCTTTGCTATTAAGTATTTTACTTTTTATTTGATGTTAATGTTAGTAATATTTGAGTTTAATAATGAGAAGAATTTAGTAATTTGATAACATTAATATAACTAGTATCGTCTTATATTTCTTTTTTAGCTTATGATTTTCTCTAAATCTTTTTTAATAAGTCTGAGTTATAAAAATAACTTTGGCTAAATAGAAAATCAAGTTCTGTACTATTAATGTCTAATGCATATAGATTATTATTTAGATTATTATGTTAAAACTTATTTTTTTATATATTTTTACAAATGTTTTGTATGTGTCGTTAGCCAAAAAATAGTTTATCAGGTTACTATTTTTATTGCTTAATTTATGCTATTTTTAAATAATAGCTTTAAATTTATTCTTTTAGATTTTTTTAATATATTTAATTTCTTTTTTTGATATTTGAATAAAATTTATTTTTATTCTATCGTTATTTTTAATATTTGGGAATATTTTCTTCAATATTTATTTTTTGTATAATTATTATTTGATGGTTTTTTCAATGTATTTTTTTAGTTTTACTTGAAAATTATTATATTTTTTAATAACTTTATTTTCTAAACCTTTGCATTTTACTCCTTGTATCGTAAAAACATTTCAATATCTTATGTACTCTATAAGTAGCAATATATTCTTTAATCTATTATAATATTTTTTCTGTTTATTTTTGTATTTTATTTTTTTTCAAAACAATGATTTAAAATTAAATTATATCCTTCAATTATATTGTGTTTTTATTTTGTAACGCATGTTTGTCTAATGCTATATTTTCTATTAAAGTATGTTTTGTTTGATTGTTTAGTAAATATTTTTTGATATAAAATGTTAAAGAGGTTATTTCTTAAATATAATTTAAATACTCTTAAATAAACATGAAAAAAATTTTTAAATAAAAAAATAGGTGTATATAATGACATAAATAGAGTACAAAAAGACAGTAAGAGAAATTATAATTCAGGATTATAAAGGCTTAAAATTAGCAAAACGGAAAATATGATTTATCTTAATAAACTTAGGATTTAATTTCTTAAAACAAATGATTCTTAGAAATAATAAAAAATGTTTAAGCTGTACATTTATTTTGATTTAAGTTTTACTAATAATGGAGAAACAAGTGCTCGAGATAAAACAGATCTAGCTTTAAATTCAGTTAAATTTTTTATTAATTTACCAGTTTGTTCCTCAAGCAGTTTTTTTTGTGACTGATACTCACTTACAAGATATGAATGTATCTTATTATATTCCGTTTTAGTATATTCTGCTTGTGTTTCCTGGTTCGAGGCATGATTTTTTTTCACATCAATTAATATATGATGTACTAATTCTTGTATAAAAGTTTCTGTATTATTAGAAATTAAGTAGATTTCTCTGAGTTTTTCTTCTGAAACTGGTGTTTCTGCTTTGGCAAGATAATCAGAAAGCTTATTAAAAGGTATATCATCAAGATGAAAAATATCTCTAGCAACAAAAGAAGATACATGTTGAGAGATTTTCTTCCGCGATGTTTGGGAATCATAATAAAGAGTTTTTTTAAATAAATCCACCACATCTTCTTTCTTTAAAGATTTATAAGTTTCAACAGTTTTATTATCTATAAAAATATTAAATAAAAATAAGAAAGAAAAACTTACGTGTATCAAAATTATAAATGCGGTAATATATCTTAGTCCAGATATTTCCTGCTTCTTCTGCCATGCTTTCAGGTATATCTTTTAGTGAATTTATAACTGAGTTAACATGATGAGAAAATTCTTCATTAGTTAAATTATTCAAATGTTCTAAGAAACTCTTAAAAAAAGCATTAATTCGGCTTTCTAAGACATGTGGTTGTCTTTCACTTTGAAGTATAATTTGATACCTGAAATATTAAGTATAGATTATAGATAACACTGCAAAAATACCCTGTAACTGTTGCTGACCGGACATAACTACCCCGTACCGCATAACCTAGTTGTTCTTTTGATCTTAATATACTAAATACTGGCTCATTCATGATATGAGATAATACAACAAGTGCTGAATTTTCTTTTCTCTCTGCTAAATCAGTAACTTCACAATAATAATGAATTGCTGAATTTAGATCTTTAGCATCTGAAGCATTAAACTTGCGGTAATATTTAGAATCTAATATTTTGTTAGATACAATACAAATAAAGTTCACTAACCTTTCTTTATGGTTATTGCACGTGGATTAATAAATTCAGATGACAGTATATAGCGTGATTCAAAAGTTGTTTCAACCATATAAGAAATATGCAATGCATCCTATATATTTAACAAATATTTTTTTTGAAACACAACTTACTTCTGGTGGAATATTTCCTGTTATTAAAAGTTCAAGATAAAGATTAGTATAAAAATCATAAACGAATGCACTAAGCTCTTCTGGTTCAGTATCTAAATATAAAATTAGAAGTTTTAGTATTGTATGGGAAATATTACTAAGCACTTCATATGCCAGTTCTTTAGGGTCACGAGATGCTTCCATAAGAGTTCTTCGTGATTCATCTCTTACAAGTGAAATTGGTGATACAAAAGAACTGGATAAATATCTATAAAGAAGATCTTGTTTAAGCCCATAAAAATCGTGATAACTAATAGATGCCGTACGAATTATTTTTAGAATATTATCAAAGATCTCCACAATTTTATCAGTATATCCTTCTAATTCTATAATTAACCCATGATATCCAGAATAAATAGAGATATCGATTCCAGCCATAGAAGAATAATAAGAATCTGCTTCTGAAATATACTGAAGGTATAATATAATAAAACTAATTTTGTAAGATATTATATAGATATTTGAATATATACTCAAGTTTAACACGTTCTGAAGCAGATAAATGAGTTACAGGACTAAATAAAGTAAGACCAGTTCCAATTATTCTTATAAATATTACTTTCTTAGAAGAAGGGTAACCGTTCCACGTGGTGCATGATAATAACTACCATAGACATACCAAAGAGAAATTAGTTCTGATTTTCTAAAAAGTACTGGTTGAGTTGGAGGCTAGGAGTTATTAGAAAATAAAGTAGAAAGTTATATAGATTACATGATCGAATTTTTCCATAGTAATATTGGGAAGTTTGGAAACATATATATTTTTAGGGAAACCTAATTTTACATTTTCAGGAAGTTTAGCATCTTTAAGCATCTGCTGAAATTAATAACAACAAATACCCCAATATACTACCTCCAAAAATGTATCATTAAAACTTAATTCTACGTATGGTATTCCATAATGGGGTTCCGTATTGGTAAAATTTACATCCTTTGGCTTATGACCCAAAGAAGCTCGAAAATTAGATGGTGATAATGCATCGAACAATTTTTTAATATCTTTTTCGTTATATTCTTTTATAATATATGGGCTTAACAAGTGTTCATAAGAAATATATTTGTTTTGCATAGTTAGAGTTAAAGACGAAAGATAATCAGGAATAGATCCTCTTGGGATATAATTAAAATTCATATGCTGTATAGTTATTAATTCTTCTACGACATCCTTGTTTGGTCCAATCCCTATTACATTTAAGATTATTGTTATTTAGAATAGAAAAAAACCTTTATAATAATTTATACACTCAAAAAATGCTCTAATTGTAGATTCATACTTTGCTAAAAAAGTCAAATTGAATATACAAAATAAGTATGAAGTATACAAGCCCGGTAGGAACGAAGACCAATTATAACTTCTAAGATATCAGCTCCTTCATGCACATGTGTATAATCAAACCTATAAAAATATTAATACGATTAATAACAGTAGAATAACTTTACATAATATAAGAAGCGTAATCTTTAATTCTTAAATATCTAAGAGATGAATTTTTTCCTTCGAAAGCTAGAATATTACTAAAAATAAAAATAGAAACTAATATCAACTAACTCATAATATATTGTAAATAAGAAAGAGGTTGCGATTTATATAAAGAGAGTTGATTTGGGATAGGAAACTCCAAATGTAACTGGTTTCCACCAGATAGTGGTGCATAGAAAAAATAAGTCTAATAAATAAATATTTTATGGAAATAAAAAAACTATCTTACCCCAAGTTTTCCATCCAACGGGTTACCTGTAAAAGGAGCAACTTCGACTGTTTTATTTGGAACTTGAGAAAACAACTTTTGCGAAATTCGTTGAAGTTCATCAAGTGATTCTATATAGGTTTAAAAAATAAATAGTGCAAGAAAACTTTAGACCTTTCCCGTATACTGCTGCTTTCATAGCATGAGAAACATAATGTTTTTCGAAAAATTTACGAATTTCGTCTGTAATCTTTTTATTTTGTCTTCTAGGGCCTGTATTTAATGTATGAAGAGTGCCTGTTGAAAACCTTGACATTGGATGTGTCTTGTTAAATGTTATTTTTTGAATTTCATATCTAATCCAAGCTGATGATCTGAGGTTTTTTTTGTGTTCTATAAATGATCAATTTTATAGATAGAAACTATTAAATTACCTGAATCAACAGCATGAGATTCACGTTGCACTGAATCTTCTGCAAATAAAGGATCAACAAAAAACTGGACAAATCTATCAAGAGCTTCATATAGAAAATCTGCATCAATTTCGAAAAAATAATTTGTGTCTATCAGAGCTGTAAATGCATTATAATAACCGCCATGTGTCAAAACATAACTATCAAAGTCATTCTCTCTTGGATACTAGGTGTTTTAGAAGTAGAAAAAAAAGCAAAAATTAAATACTTTTTTTGTACCCATAAAAAGCAAATGTTCACAAAAATGCGCCATTCCTGGATATTCATCCTAAGATGTTATAAGGTTTCTCATAAACTAAAAAGACTAAGAAGCTCACAGGATCATGTAAGCTACCTATTCCAACATCTACAGAGACGCTTGCTTTGTTTGAATTGGGCTCGCTGATAAGTAGTATTTCTATACCATTCCCTAACTTAATAAGTCTATAGCTAGCTCTATCTACTAATGATTTTATAAATTTCTCCTCAAGGATTTCTACAGGAAAAACAGTAGAGTCTGTCTTCAAATTTTCAGTTGGTTTATCAAAGTCGTGAAGTTTAAAAGGTTTCCCATATTGTGTTATATATAAAAGTGAGACAAATAATGAAAAAATTAGTCTCATTCCGCCTTCCAAGACGAAGAAATGATAGGAAAACTTATGGATATTAGCTATAAGAGTTATTAGTATACTTAATATAAACTTACAAATTATTTGATATTTTTTTCGGAAATTAAATAACGCTAGTTAAAAATTTTAAACGTTTTGATAAAAAACGTAATCTAGTATATTTAATAAAAAATGTCTTTTAAAAAATACATTCAAACTTGTTGTTGATATTTTAATAATAAAATAATAAAAGCGGTTACTGAAAAATTTTTTAAAAGAAAAAATTGAAAAGAAAATGAACTTAATATTTTAAAAAATATGAAACACGATTGAAAATAGTATCTGATATAATCGATTAAATAATATTATATTCATATAAAGTATAAACGAACTTTCAAGGAAAAACTTAAATGACATTATTTTTAGGGATCGTATAAGAAGGATTTTCAGGAGATTTAATAAATATTATATTAAAGAATTTTTTTAATATATATTAAAATTTTATTTATTAAAATTTGAACATTTCTAAAGATAGAAATTATATTATTTCTTAAATGCTAAAGTTAATCAGTAAAAAGATGCTCTGTGCTTTAATTAATTTTTATATTATTTTTTTATGTAATCCACATTTATTTTTATAAAATTCGAATAGGGTAGATTTTTACGAAAATTTATATTTTTACTAAAAAATATTATAATAATTAGAATATACTTTTTTAGATTATGTTGATATTCATTAATTAAATTTTTAGAGTTTCCTACTAAAGATATAAAAATTTATATTTTTGAATTTTAAGAATTTTTTATAAATAATTTTTTTGATATAAAACTGTTTATATTTTCATAAAATGTATTAGATTTTGATGAAAATAATTGTTAAAAGTAAGTTTATTTATTTATTTATATTTAAAGGATATGTATGTTTTTAGAATAGTAAAACTGAATTGGAATATTTGGAAAATTATTTTATAAGAAAATTATTTTATAATTTTATAAATAAAAATTTTATTCTAAATTTTAGTATTTTTTAGGGTTTTATATCGTTTTAAAATATGAAAAAATATATTTAGAATTATGAAATATTTTTATACTTTATTTTTATTTATGATTTATTGTTTTTTGATTTATTGTTTTTGAAAAAAATCGTTATTTTATATTAGTTTTCTTAAAAAAACATAGAATTATTTTTTTATTTCATAGTATAAAGATAAAAAATTAAATTCTCATAGTTCTAAAATTACAAAGATTATTAAATATATTTTATAGTGTGTATAATAAATGATTTATGCATGAAAATTAAACATGAAATTTATGTATAAACAATATATATATTATTATAGAATTTCCGTATATCCAATATTATTAAAAAAGGATTTTGTTAAATAGCATTTTAAACTTATACAAGATGGGCACAATAATTCAAGCTGCGTACTGCTTTTTCTTCCATTAGTTAAATGATTTTTAAGTATATCAGCCATTCCTCGGATAAAAGTAAAATTATTATTCAAACTGCTTACTCGCTTTATACCATTAAACCCAGATCTTTTAGCATTAGCAATATATTGAAGATCTAATTCTAAAGAAATGGTAAGATAAATATATTTATAATATTATTAATTTACCAAATAAAGTTTCAATATGATCACTAACAAATGAAACTGGGACCAAAATAATATTCTGTTTTCCCATTTTTGTAAAACTATTTATAACGTGATTTGTTTGAGGACCTAGCCATGTGGATGGTCCAACTTGAGATTGCCAAACAAGCCGATAAGGATTAGAAAAGTTTAACTTCTCCATAACAGCATAAACTGTTGCAGCAACTTCCAGTGGATATGGGTCGCCACGGTTTACAATGCTAATAAATAATTAGCTTTAAAAATTATTATTAATTAAATTATAATTACCTCATTGGTAAAGAATGAGCAGTAAATAATATAATTACATCATTTCTATCATTTTCTGGGTATGTTTTCAACGTTTCTATAATATTATCTTTAAAAGCATCAATGAGTCCACAATGCGTTGGCCAACGATCTACAACACTCCAGCGAATCTGATTATGTGTATCAAGTTTTTGAATTTGATAATATAATTCATTAAGACTAGACCCTGTAGTAGAGCATGAATATTGTGGATAAAGAGTAAATGCTACAGCATTAGTTATATTGTTATTTAACATTTCCAGTATGACAGATTCTGTTAATGGTGCAGAATATCGAAAAGCAACATAAGGTTTATGAGGAGCTATAATATCAATATATTTCAATAAATAGGTTTTTTTTTGCAAAATTTATAAAAAATCATACCTGTTCTTGGGCTTATTTCATCAAGTATTTTACACACTTCTTGTGCTTGGAGTTCACTCCATTTATGGATTGGACTCCCTCCACCTATTTTTTTATAATAGTTTGACACCTTAGGTGCTCTTATTTTTGCAATGATAGATCCAAGCCATTTCTGCATTGATCCAAGTGGAATTAAATCACTGTCTGTAAAAATTCGAAATAAGAAATCCTTAACTTCAGAGAGTTTAGATGGTCCACCCATATTTAAAAAAACAATTCCCTAATTAATTATATTAGTTTAAATTATTAAAAAGGATGGTTTAATAAAGGATTTACAGTAGGGCCATTAGAGTGTTTTGTTTTTGTTGTTAAATTTATAGAAAAAACAAAAGAATTCAAACGCAATTTAGGCTTATAGAATTTGTTATTAAAAATATTTCTTGTGAATCTTGAAGAGTTAATCATTATTTCAGTTATCAGTTATTCCTCCATAGATATATTTAAAAAATAAAAAATTGCTTGAGATTTAATCAATTTCGATAAATATATTTTTTAAAATTGATTTAAAATTTTAATTATGAAATTTTAAAAAAATTTTAAAAATAAATATATGATCTATATATGATTTAAAAAGAACATTTTACTTTTTTTGTATAATTTTTAAAAATTAAAGCTATTTAGTTCTTGGTGTTAGAAGATATTTAGTATTATTAAATCATATATAAATTAATATGCACTTTTTTTTTATTTACTCAGAAGACATAAGTGTTGCTTACTTTGTTTTTAAAAATATAACTAAATTGATAGTCGCTTTTTATATTTTAATACTTTGTTAAATTTATTAAGTTATATATTATTAAATTTTAATTGAATATTAAATAAAAGTATATTCATTAAAAAAAACCATACATTTCAAATTCATGAATTTCTTAATAAAAAAGAAGATAATAAATATTTTATAAATTCATCTATTTATAAATGTTATTAATATAAATATCATTGATAATTTTTTTTTGTTTTAAATAAGTACAAGCTAATATTTTTTGAAAAGTTAAATGGTTATTTTTTGATACTAGATTTTTAAAAATGAATTAATACTAGAACTTAGCTAATGATGTAAATAGTAAAAATAAAATATTTTGAATAATTTTACAAAAAAATAAAAGATAATATATCTGTTTAATTATTTAGTAATTTTATTACAAATGTTTAGAATTTAATGATAATAGATTTAGTGCATTAAACCAAAATTATCTAAGTAGATATTTTATGATATAATATGTTTATATAGAATTTTTATTTTACTGTAATAATAAATATTATAAATAATATTTTAAGATATTAGTTAATACTAAGTAAAAGAAAATATTTTATAGAAATATAAATATTATAAATTTATATGTTTTACTTATAAATTATATTGGTATTATATTTTATTTCTGATGTAAAATATCAACAAATTAAAAAGGTAAAATAAACAATTTTAACAAAGTATGAAAATAATATATAATAGAGAATATTTATTTTAATAATGTAAACTATTTTTAAATCGGTCATAATACTTTTTTATCAAAATCATAACAATGAGAATTTCAAATAATTTCGAAAATTTTTGAATATTGGAAGAATAAGTATTTTAAAATATATAAAAATTAATAAAATGTAGATGATTATTATTTGTAAATAGTATATAAATAAACTAACATGAATAATAAATATAGTAATTTAATATAAATGAGTTATTCTGATTTAAATAGAAATGTAATTTTTTTGTTTAAGTCAATAAATTTATTTTTTTTTGGAATTTAAATCATAGTGTTATTGAAATTTTTGATCTAATTAGTAAATTTAAGACATGTTTTTTTATAAAAAAATTTTCATAAAATATAATTTTTTTAGTTATTAAAAAATAACTTAATTTATTAAAAAATTAATTTTATTAATGTATACTTTTAATAAAGTAATTTTATTTTTTTATTACTTTAATAATAAACATTTATAAAATTCGAATTATTTTAAATATGATTTTTTATTAACTATTATTTAAAATTAAATGTACAACTCTACAATTTAAATATAATAATTTTTTTGTTATAATAATATTCATAATAAATAATTATGAAAAATAAATCAAGTAACATTTTTAAGTATATTTTTATTTAATTGAAAAAAATATAAATTATCTTTTCTAAAATATTTTATATTTAAAAAAAATTAATTAAACTTTCTATTTGATCTTATTTTTTTGATTTTGGAAACTAAAAATTATAGAAAAAAAATAACAATTCTAATTTTAATATTAATTCAAATTATTAAAATAGGTATTATATTTTTTTATAATTTATGTTTAAATTGTTAATATTGTAAATTTAGTAGATAGTTTATTTTTTTAATTTCTAAAAATTTAAATATTTAGTAAACAAGTTAATTTTAAATTATTAAATTTATATTTAAGAGAAAAAGTATATAATCTTTTGTTTTATAAAAATTTTAATTATAAAAATTGAGATTTATGTTATTAAATTTTAATTACTTTATTATTCAAAAAAATTTTAAATAAAAAAATTTTTATAATAACATTAAATATTTCAAAAGAAAAGTTTTACAATCTTTAGAAAAATTTATATTGTTTATAAAACTATAAATATTATTTAAGAACATTAATTAAATAAGGAAACCAAATTGTTAAAAATTGTTTACAATTAATTTTTTGAAATATATAATTATTATTTGTAGATAGATACAGAATTGTTTTGTTAAATTGTAAATTTAATATAATCTTTATGGAATTATGAGTGTTTTTATTGTATTTTTCTAGAAAAATATTATGATTAATAGAATAAATTGAATATATTAAATATTTTTTATTTAAAAAAAACTGTTAGATAGCAATAAAATAATTTTTTTTCATAATACATTTTTAACTTTTTAAAATATGTATTTTAAAATACTTTTGTAATTTACTAAATATTTTAAAAGTGTCAGTGAAATTAAAAACTTAATTTAAAAAATTCTATGCAATTCGTTTAAAATTGTAATATTTTTTATAGATGATTTTTTTACTAGATAGAAATAAAATATTTTTAAAATTTTAAAATATAAATTATTTAATTATATTATTGAAGTTATAATTGATAAATCAAATTTTATTATTTAATTTTTGGAAAAATTGATCTTAAAAATAATTAAAACTAACCAAAATTTTAAACATATAATTAAATTAATTTTAAAAATTTAAAAGTTAAATTCAAAAATCTAAATTAAAAAACTTATTGATATTTTATATTAAAATAAATAAATTATGAATTTATTAGAGCAAGTTTTATGGATAATCAATAATTATAATTCATTTATATTTATATTTTTTATTTTGAATATAATATATATGATTGTTTAAAAATGACAAAAAATTAATTTAATAAATGAAATTATTTAAAATATTTTTAGAGTTAAAAATACTTTATATTTAAATTAAAACTACTAAAATTAACAAAATATAAATAAAAATTTATATAAAGTATATAAGTATCTTACAAATGTCTTAAAAAAGTAAACATAGAATTTTAATTTTAATATTATCATAGAAATATACATAAATAAAATTAGCTAGTTTTAAATCTATATTAAAAGCTAAATAACAGTACTATTCTCGATTTAACAAATTTGTAAAGATTCTGAAATAAAATATCTATAAAACAATATAAGTTCTGAAATATACCAATTACTACTAAAAAATAATATTTTAAATAAAATACAAATTCGAGTGATTCAATTTCTTAACCTTAAGAATCAATAAATTAAATATTGATTTTTTTAAAAAGTAGTTATATTTTTTTATAAAAAATATGATATTAAATATATGAAGCTAGTAAGTTTGGTATTGTAAAAATTTTTTACACAATTTATTTTCAAATAAAGATTCATTCCTTTTAAATTATTCAATTTATATTATTTAATCTCTAGCTCCTCACTATCATCACTAGAAATAAACTCTTCGTCCCATTTATTAACCCTTTTACTAGTTTTACTCGTCGACAAGCTCAGCACTTTCGAATATATAGAATTTGTATTTTGTTCCTTATTGATATTTGAAGGATTATCCGTAATATTAAAGCCATTCATTGATGTTATTTTTGAATTATATTCTGATTTCTCCATTACTAATTTTACTGTATTTTTTACGTCATCAATCATCATTTCATTCTTTTCTAAATATTTGTTATCATCAAACTTGATTCTTTGAGAAAGAGGCTTTGCATCAATAATTGCTTGGAGTCTTCGTTTTCGTTTTGCTAAAATTTCACGTTTTTGTACTGATGCGGTTTCTATATATTTTGCCAATCTATAAATTTTAAAATATAGTATTTTTTACAAAAACTATTACTCTTCTTCTTCTTTAATTTTACGTATTCTTCTTCCATTCAAATCCCTACAACTTAACTTGTTTTCTTCTTCACCACGCTTTTTCCTACTACTCATACGACCTCCTGCTGCACGAAGCTGAGATCCAAAGCCACCTTTGCCTCCTAAAATCCTTGGAACATACCTAAACATACAAAAATCTTTGCCATTTGAATATTGGCTATGATTTAACAATGATATTAAAGTTTCTTCAGGGTAAATTGGTCTACCAGAAAAATGTGATAATAGATAATTTCCAGAAGGAAAAATTACTGATAAATAGTCTTCAAGATTTTTGATAGTTGAAGTGTCAGAGAGAACAACAGATACTGTCTTAAATGGCGGAAAAGTTGTTATAATATTATTGATCATTTTATTTAATTATCGCTAAATGTTAAAAAATACGTTACATAAAATTAAATTCAAAATATTTTTATTACCGACAAACTAAAATAAATTATATTAGATTAGATAATTAATCTTTGGTTTTTTATCTTTAGCAGTTAAAAGTATAAGTTGTAAGAAAAAAATCATTCAACACTAAGCAAAGCAAGATTAACAGCTTTTGCAAACTTCTTCAGTGCCTTTTTATAATCCATATTTTGATTTATTTCTAAAAAGGTGTTTGAAGCAGCATTTGTAATTGCTGCTTTAGCAAGATTTGTTTCATGATCATATTCATTTCCTATTATCCAAAACGTTAATACAGCAATTCAAATAAAGAAAATGCATTTCACTGTATTTAAAAACTTCTGAAGACTTTGTACTTATCAAATCCTCAAGTATCGTTCGATAATCCATTAAAATAGAAAGAAAAGATGAAATATTTTCCTTTTTTCCTCAGAAAAACAAAAAAAAATAGAAAAAATACTTTTAATATACCTGCATCTGAAACATGTTCTTCATCCTCTAACGCCAAAATATCTCCAATTAATGCTTTAAATTTATGATCATTTGTGCATCTACCTATTCATCAATATCTATTTTGCTTTTGATGAAATCCTTTTACTTCTCCTCTTTTGCAGTTTTTATAAGCATTTTTATCCGTTTAAATGTATCATTCTGCAGAGAAACAAACCCTTCTAAGTACAATTTCGTTGATGTTTCTTGCAAAGGCCGTGCTGTCCATTGTTAACAAAACCACACATATAATTCCTTTTTCAAACATAACCGTCTAGAATCTATGGATCTAAGAGTAATATAATGAATAAATATGTCTCTATTGACAAAATCATAGACCTACAGTTCTTCATGATCACTACTTATACTTTCTGAAGACAATGATGTATATTTTTTAGGTTGTATGCGCCTTTTTTTTGCTAAATTATACACTTTAATCTTATTTCAATCACTTCTAAGTTTAAACTTACTATTATCTTTTTGATTCTTGTGTTGTATGCGCTTTTTCATTTTTTACGTGCACGCTGCTTCAAGTTTCTTCGAAAATTAGCTGTTTTTCCAGGCTCAAAGTAGCAACCGTAAATGCCTTAATTTACCTAACTTGTGTAAATATTTATAAAGCACCAACAACTAGTGCATATACACACTAAATAGAAGCATATATATAGCAAATATACAAATTACAATGCTACTTTGCAGCAAAATATTCAATATTCCCTAAAACTTTACCCAATTTTTGTCTAAGTTTTGCTTGTATATTCTAATGGTATAATAATAAAAGTGATAAAGCACATAAGTCTATTGAACAGACAAAACATAAGTTTGGGATGATATAAATTGCAAATGCACAGAAAAATAAATTAAAATGTAGATAAATAGCAATGCTTTATACTGCAAAAATGCGTTTTTTATATAAAAACTATCCTTATTTTTCTATCACTCAATATCATGTTTTGCGGGGCCTTTTTAAAACCTCGAATGATGCATTTTTTATTCATCGGCAGAGGTGCCAATTAAAATAAAAAGTAAAACAACAGCCCGTTTAGGGCTGAATGGCACAGATTTGCAGCAAACTGTTGAAAAAACAGGCACTGACCCTCAGAAAAAGAGGGCTTAGAATGAAATTTAGGGGAATTTAATTAAGTATTGATATATTTATTGGGTTAGTATATAAATTTTATATAACGACGATTGGCGTGATTTTATAATATAAATTTAATAAAGTAGCTAATGAAGGCAGGTAGGAGTCATCGGTATCAAACAAGCATTGATTAGCGGATTATTACGTTATTTTTCTTTAATATTTTCAAAACAAGGAAAAAGTTTTTAGCCGCTAGTTTACATATAACCTTAATTGAAAAACGGGTATTTGAGGATGGAGAATATTCAAATAGGGGGTAGTGAGGGAAAGCAGGCATGTAAAAGCCAAACAATTACACTTATGCTTTGTCCAGACTCTATTTTGCTTCCTATGTCCAATCGTGCAAAAGAGATGCAAAAAATTATAGAACACAATTCAGTATTTTTTTCTAATATTCTTTCAAATTTGTCAAAAGACATTCGTCGAAACTTGGAAACATTATGGACAATGGTTGACAGAGATTGCATGGACGACCTTCAATGGTTACAAAATGTCAAACAAATTTTATCTAAATCAGCTGCAGACGAGTATTTTTGGAAAAAATGGTGTTGTATTGTTGGCTGTGATGAAGAGAATTTTCACAATTACTATCTCAGAATTCCGCAAAATAAAAGTTGTGAAAGCTTAATTAATAAAAAAAATATTGAGACCAGAGCATTACGTTTAACTCAGCCTACGTTTGTTAATAAAATAATGCCCAAAAATAATTAATTTAATTCTATTGTAAACCTTATCATAAAAAATATAATATTTTATTGTTAAGTTTTTTTAATGGTTTATAATTAATTTACTTGAAGGTTTGTGATACATGATTTTAGAGAGTTATTAACGTTCTATTTAAGTGCTTTGATTCATGTTTCTTATGGTATATTGAAGTTTGAACTAATAAAAAGTAAAGATTAAATTATGGAATACGTTTTTATAAGTTATTTGGTCTTGTCGAATTCTATTTGTTATTATCAAATATAAAAACCATACGTAGTTTTTAGATTTTTTGCCTTTTTATGTTTATTAAAACAAAAAAGGTTAAATATAAATAACAGTTATTCAAAAGGTTAATCGTTAATTGTCAATTGTCGCAAATTTGACAATTTAGTTTCATTTTCTAATAATGCGGCACCTTATTACTTAACATATATTTCATAAGAGACATAATGTGTTTTTAAATACTTCTTAAGGTTTAATAAATTATGAAAATTAATATTATATTTTTACTTAATTTTATATTTAAAGGACTTTTGCTTTAATAAATTTTAAACCCAAAAAAATAGAGAAATTATAATCTAAAACTATTTTTTACAAAATTTTATTAATAAATTCTTTTTTTTTTATGATTTAATATTTCAAAGTCATGTGTTAAAAATTTCCAATACGAACGACTTTTTAAAAAAAAATTAAAAAGGTAAGAATATTTATAAAAGAATCAGTAAATAATTTGGAAATTTAAATCAAAATATTAGTACTTGGAATATTATTTTGACTATGTTTTTTGCAATACTTTTAATAAAATATAAACAAATGATTTAGTATTTAATTTTGAATAGTTTACTAATAAATTTATTTTATAGGGTCTGAATAATATTGCTAGAAATGATTATTCCTAAGAATAATCGTAAAAAGGTACGTAAAAAGAAATATATTTTGTTTTTTTTTTTAATTATCTTAACAGATATATGAGCTTTTATTTAAAGGTATAAAGATAATAATAATATTTTTAATATGCATTATTAGATGGGACTCTTGTTGCAAAAAAAGATTTCAATGCGCCTAGTTCGGTAGAGCTTCAAAGTGTTCCTAATCTTCAAGTCATTAAAGCATGTCAATCACTTACATCAAGAGGCTATCTGAAAACTCAATTTTCATGGCAATATTATTATTATACTCTTACAAATGAAGGAATTGATTATTTGAGGGAGTGGCTACATCTTCCAAATGAAGCTATACCAAACATATGTAAAAGGCATCCACGTCAACAAATTACTCGTATGCCCCGTATTGATAGTCATCGATTAAGAAATGATAAATACGACTATAGACGTCGTGATTATAGTGAAAAAAAAGAAGGGAACAGTGAGTATACCTTTATACTTGTATTATTGCTTAACAGAATTAGCTGCACCTGGCGATTTTATTCCTACTTTTAGAAGTGGAACGGAACGGGGGTATATTGCTGCTTAATTTTGAATTAAAACATCTATATACTACATCATTGATGTATATAATTGGTTACATTTCAGAGGTGTACAATCCTTAATTAAATTTACCATAAAACATAGAATTAGATGAATCAGAAAACAATGTTTTTGTATTAATATTATAAAACATTAAAAACTAATACTATCACTTTTTTAAAGGGAAAAGAGCCTGTTTGACCAACCATTTATTTTATTTTTTGTTCATTTGTTTATACAGTTATATAATTACTTAAGCAGTTGCATTTTTCACTGTTTCTTCATTAATTGTAAAAAATTACCTAAACATGTCTTACAATAAGTAATAATATCATTACGATCAGAAGGCTTCTTAAAACCAGGAAACACCATCTAAAATCATTAAAAAAATCATAGTAAATTATTTTAAGTATACTTTTGTTCCGGGGATGTATTTTTTAGGATTTTCAAGATATTCATACAATGTTTCTTCAGACCAAGTTATTGCTTTAGATTTATTGGCTTCAGAATATTGGTAACCCTCTGCTTGACCAGTTTTTCTTCCAAAAATACCATGGCTAAGATATATTAATAATAAAATTAAACGGATCAATTTATTAATTACAGATTCGGTCCAACCTATTTGAAAGATTAAAAAACACATAAAAACATAGATCAGAAAAGATCTTTACCTTATGAGGGCCACCTTTTTCTAATGTATGGCACTGTGCACAACGAGTTTTAAATAATTTGGCACCTTTTTCAGCTACAAAATTTAAGATAAATTTAAAATCAAAAAATATCAACTGACCGTCTCCTGTTGAAAATCCCATAGTTTTTCTTTAATATTTTGTTGATTAAACAGGCTAAAATTAGTTAATAATTAAAATTTGGAAAATTCAAGATTAAAGTTAAAACGCTACGTAGAAATCTTTTAACGAGATAAAGCATGATTATTAAGCACGTATTAAGAGAGAGTCTAATAAAATACATAAAGAAAAAAAAAAAGGACAAATGCTTAACAAATTAAATCAAAAATGCATATGTATGGAATGGAATAAGATGAAAAGCTAATATAAGTAAAAACATTTATATATAAATATCGTAGTAAGAGAAACGGTTTGAAAAAAATCACAAGGTAAAATATTGTAAAAATATACATATTAATTCATTCATTTTAACCCAAACCCTTCTGAATCAGAAATGGCAGTAATAAGGAATTTGTAAAGTTTCTGATGTGTTTTATAACGATAAAGACATAATTGATTAAAACCTATATAATATATTAAAATAAAAAATATAAATTAATATATTAAATCACATGTGTGCGCGATAGGATATCTATCACAATCATTTCCAAGAATAGAAATTTTAAATGAAAGATTAGCAGCACCTGTAGCAGGAATACGATCTGATCCTGTAACAAAAGCAAGTAATTTTCTTTGCAAAATGGGTTTCATTTCTTTAAAAATAGACCAAAACCTAAAACTCTTATCAATAACTTTATTTTACATATTTTCAAACATACCATTCTATAACACTTTCTTCTTCAGGATTGATTTCTAATGAATTTAAACTATCATATACTGTAACTGAACGTAATTGATCAACATCAAGGCTTTCTGGAGAACCTCGTATAAGAAGTTCTATTTCTTCTGGTCTAAAAAGCGAAAGTGCATTTCCTCCACATACATGATAAAATCCTCGTTTAAATGGCTCAAATTGTTTTGAAATGGACGTATTCAAAATAAAACTGGTATATCGCTTAACATATTCTATAAAATATTAAAACAATATAATAAAAAAATAAAAAAGAACCTTCTCTATTTAAATTAGTAACTGCAATTTTTTCTCCATTTTTACAAAGAGGTAATCGATAAACATTTCCAAAAGCTTCATACTCTCCTACAAAATCTCTACAAAAAGTATCCTCTACATTGCCTTCAAATGTTAACAAATGTTGAAATCCTTTAACCAAACTAGGACGGAAAACTTTTAAATCATCTAATCCACAGGGAATATCTAATAACTTTTTATAACAAGCTAAAGGAAAATGAATATCAAGAATAGTAGAGTTATAAATAGCAAGTCCGAGAACAACTCCAACAAGAAAATATTGGTCAGATGACTCAAAAGAAGCAGGATTAAACCAGCAGTAATTTGTTTCCTCATTCCAAACAAACATTCCTAAAATATTAACAATAATATTTTTATTATATAAAATTATACCATAAAGAGGATCAAATACTTCTCTACAAAGCAATAGAAACCATTCTTTTCGAAGTCCTCCTATATCTACACCATCTTCTCCAACAAATTCAATTCTTAGACTTTTTTTAAGATCCATTTCATTATTACTAATTTGTCTAAGACTGTCTTCAATAATACATTCTCTTCTCACACGAAGAACTAAATGTGGAGTAATATGTCGTTTTTGAAAAATACTAGAAAAAAAAGCCTCTCTTGCTTTTACTTCCATCTGACGTTTAGCATCATATTCCATAATATTGATTTTTGCACCCATAGAAAGTAAAAAAGGATATTGACAAAATGAAAACTTTGATAACTTTCGCTCCCATGCATCAAAGTCCGTAATCAAATCAATATAATCAACCTTATTTGTTTAATATATAATAAAATAACGCAAAACTAAATACCATGGTATTATAAAATTCTGAAAGAAGAAAGGTGGATTTTTTATTATTAGATGCAACTATTAAAGATTAGATAAAATAAAATATAAAAAAACATACATAGCAAAGCCATCATCTTTGTAGCTGCTTTGATCCCCCAATCAGTAGTGTATTTACTTTGATTATCATGTTCTCGAGTATATTTACTAAGCCGTTTGGAAATAAAGCTATTACAAAGCTGTATTTTTTTACATAAAATATCCGTATTATAATTAGAAAACCAATTAACAATATAATGGTGAATATCATTTGATAAACTACTAATATAACCAAATGTACGTTTAATAATATCATTACATTCGTTTTTATAAGTATATAGAAAAAAAAAAGGATTTTCAAGGATAATAAGAAGAAATAAAACATCTGAAGGCTTTTTAAGTGGTTGACCAATACGCTTAAGAAGGATATTTATTGATTTGAGTAAAACTTCAATAAGATGACTTGGAAGAGTTGACATGACATCATAAAAAGTCCTGACCTGAAACAAATCTACAGAACTATCTGTCAAGGAAATATTTATTCCCTATACAACACAATAAATACGTAAATAGTAATAATTCGTGAACAAATACATTAGAAAAAGATGTATTTAATGTTTTCCATGATGAAAATGTAGCAATAAGTACATCCTCTAAGAGTTTCCAAGCAGTCTTAACATCTGTTTGATCATTATTTTTACAAATAGTTACTATGTTTTCGAAGTTTGATAAAGAAAGAGGAATAAAGTTATATTTTGGTGGAATAACAGATGATTGTATTAGAACAGGACGTATATCATTGATGGAACCACAAATAGTACCTTATAATGTTAATGTAGTTGAATCAATATAAAAGTATTTTACATCTAAAACAAAAAATATTATTTGGATACTGTAAATTTGAATCGCAACATATACAACGCCCAATAATCTGAAAACATTAATAGATAAATTATTAATAAAAAAAATACCATGGCAGGTTTATACAAAGTGTTAGGAATTAATGGAATTGTTTCAAATGGGAATTTACTCATATTAAATACAAATCCTATCTGACTGTTTGTAGTAATTAAGAGATAAGAGTGCTTGTCATGTTAAAACTTAATGTTTATATGTATTTAATTTATAAATATAAAAAAAATAAAAAAATATATTTATATTTATTGAATGATTTTATATTTAACATAATTACTATTTTTAAATGTAAAAGAGTTAATGCGAAATACAATAATTTTTGAAAAATAATTTTTTGAAACATAGTTTAAGTTAAATATTACAAATATTAAATATAATTTTATTATTTGAGAAATTTTTAATTATAAAAATTCTAAGATTCTTAAATAACTAATCAATTTTATATTTAAATTTTATTAAATAGTTTTTTTTAAAAGGATGTATATAAAAATTTATTGTAATTTTATATTTTATAAAAGAACAAAACATATCTAAGTAAATTTAGAAATTCTTAAATATAAAATCAAAAATATATTTAAAAATCTATTTCTTTTATTTTTTTATAATCAAAATATTAACGTTTTAAATAAAAAAACATTAAATATTTTATAAAGCACAAAAAACTTTTATTTTTAAAATATTTAAAATATAACAAATCAAATCATTCTAGTTAATATTTATTTTATATATTCAAAAGATCATATAAATTATCTAAATTTCATACCAATAAAAGCATTAATTAATGCATTAATCATTTTTGGAGTTAAATATATATACACATTGTAATAAAAAAATGCATCCAAAAATACAAATATATAAATACATACACACATATAAACTTATTTATATATAAGCATATATTTAAATCAATATTACTATTAATAAAATAAAAAATTGATATTAAATAACTTTATTATTAAATAAAAAACACATTGTTAAAAAATTTACACTTTATTTGTTAAATTTTTATTAAAATATTTAATTTCTAGTTTATAAATATTTGAATCCATATAAAATTTTTTCAACTTTTAATAATCAGCCATCTCCATAGTAACATGTGTTGACAACAACTCAGAAAATTATCAAAAAATCATTGATTAGTCTCCTTTTCTTTTATAAATAAACTCTTTTTTCTTAATAAGTCTATAACCAAAAACATAAAAGTAAAAGAAATGTCTTTTTTTAATATGTTAATATTTTCTTTAAAAAAACAAAAACTAACTTTTATAGAAATTCACGAACACGAACATTAACATTTAAGCCTAAAAAAATTGAAGAAAACAATAGGCGTTTTCAATTGAAGGAATATACAAAAGCAACTCTTGGCTCAGGTTCACTTGCACGTGTTGTTCGTCTCCCAGAAGGCGAAGATCTTAACGAATGGCTTGCAGCCAATAGTTTGTAAAATTATAATTTTCGATTTTTTCTTACATTACATTAGCTGTTGACTTTTATAATCAAATAAATATGCTCTATGGGACAATAACTGAGTTTTGTATCAGTGAAACATGCCCAATGATGTCTGCAGGATCACAGTATAGATATGTTTTTATATTAATATTATTTATTTATTATTTTAGATATGAATACTTATGGCAAGATTCTAGCAAATATAAAAAGCCGACAAAAATGAGTGCACCTGAATATATAGAAACGTTGCTTCAGTGGGTCCTTTCCTTTATTGATAATGAATCTGTATTTCCAACAAAAAATGGTTTACTAGGATTATAATCGAATATAAAATTAATATTTTTAGGGTTTCCATTCCCAAAATCCTTTCCCTTGATAATTAGACAAATTTACAAACGTCTTTTTCGAGTATATGCGCATATTTATTGTCATCATTTTTCTGCTATTATAGCATTAGGAGAAGAAGCTCACCTAAATACAAGTTTTAAACATTTTATATTCTTTGTTAATGAATTTAAGTAATAACTCAAGTAATATTTAACAATATTTATAATGTTTTTAGTCTTATTGAAAAAAAAGAGTATGCACCACTTCAGGAACTTGTTGATAGTTTTATTACTAATGGGAAATAAAACTATTTCTTAACTGTAGATTACTATAATATTTTAAATAAAAAAATTTCAAGAAAATCTAAAAATATCATTCTAAAGACTTAAGTCTTGTTATATTACCAATCATATATACTATATTAAAGATAATTAATTCAAAATAATATTTATAAAGTTTGCATTATAACAACTATAAATACAACAATTTATTTACATAAATATAAAAACATTTAAACTTTCACATTTCTAACTCACGTTCAAATTCTGCCAATTCATCATCTTCAAAACCATTATTTCCGTTCTGAATAATATTTATATCTATAGACTTATCTTCATTCTCATTCAAAAAATCCAAATCATCATCTGAAGATGGTAACAAAGTTGAATTTATTTCATTTTTTAAATTACCACTCTGAGAATTTTTCAGTTTAAGGTTTTCCTGAGACGAAAAAGTTTGAGGTTCCAATTTAACATGTTCTATAGTCTTCTTTTTCTCATTGATATCTTTTTTGGAATGCTTTAATGCAGAAATATCAGTTTGTAAAATATTAGAAGATTCTTTTAATGAAACATCTTTCTGATCTTCTAGGGTTTCTTTATTCTTTTCAACTTGTCTAAGCTTTGCTGCTTTTTCTTCTCTAATTTCTTCTAATGTACGAACTCTAAATTCAATATTATCCTTTTCATGGGTATTTGCTAAATTCCGTTTATCTTGTTTTCTGCCATGATTCCCCTTAGCCCCCTTTGTACCCGTTTTCAACTGGAGTACATTTCTTTGTGATTTAGGTGCAGTAGGAGCAGAGAATTGACACTCTGTGTTTTGAGAAGTTTGCAATATGGTTTTCATATTTTTGTCTTTTAACGGATATTTCTCTTGCTTTTTTGAAATAGATAAAGGCAATACAGATTCTAATTTACGTTTACGTTGTTCTGATAGATTACTAGATAAACCATGTGTTTTGATATCTTGGTTTTCCTGAATCACCGGCTCGCCTTCCAAATGCACTGCTTGATTTTCTTGTTTTGTTTCCAAAGATGGTCCAAAAGATGTATTTTTTTGAGAAAGATCTACACCTACAGAGCTGCCCACTGAAGATTCTATAGCCTTTCCTGATGACATGTTAAGCAAAACCTGTTTCCCAGCACCTAATGTCATTTTATCAGTTTTTTACTCTTTTTTTTAACAAATACGCTGCACCTGGATAACCATGATGTTTAAAAGGACAAATAGCTTTAGTACACCCTGTGGGTGCTGTTTCCCAGTAACAATATGTTCCACTAATATAACTTGTCAAATGGCGATCGCCACACCCTACTTTACTACATGTTTGGCGCGCCTGAAACTCGGTACATTGCACCCGGCTTTCTCGAGCCAAAAGATTATGCCGATATATACATAAGTCTCCTTTATTGCATGAATTATTCATAAAAAATAGGCAATCTGCTCGCCCATCAGCGTGCAGCTCAGTCATTAGAAAGTGTGAATAAACGTATTTTAATCTACGAAATTCCGATATAATTTAACGTTCGTAAGTCAAAAATAATAGAAAAATATTAGAAAAATAAGAAAAAAATAATGAGTGTTAGAATGTTAGGAATAGCAAGAAGAGTTTTTAAAATGAAAAGCTTTTTCCTGGTTAAAAACATATTAAAATAAGTCTTTAACTAATAAATGATAGAAGCAAACATACGCAACAATTACAGCAACAACTCGTATAAAAGCACCAATTGAATTGCATGGGATTGATGGTTTTTTATATTTTATTTAAAAATATGCATCTGTGTTTATATTTTTAGGAACATATGCCACAGCATTATACAATGCAGCAATGAAAAACGCATCTCTTGAGAAAACAGAGAAACAGCTTAGTTCTCTTTGCAGCATAATTAATAGAGATCCAAAACTTTCTATGGTTCTTAATAATCCGTCTCTTTCCTTTAAAGACAGATCAGTTATTGCAGAAGTTCTTGCAAAATCATTAGGAAATGACAAGTTGATTTTTAACTTTTTGGAGATCGTTGCAGAAAAAAACAGACTTAATCTTATAAAAGATATTGTTAAAAAGTTTTCATATCTTATGAGTGCAAAAAAAGGAGAAATCGAAGTTATCGTTACTAGTGTTTCTGTAAATAAATTGTTATTATCAATTTTTATATTAATTTAGGATTTAGCCTTTGGATTCTCAGTCTTTAAGTCGTCTAGAGTCTGCTATTTCAAAATCGAAACATGCAGGCCCAGGAAGAAAGCTTAAAATGATTAATAAAGTAATCAAATATTTTTATATTTAAATTATTTACAATTTTAGATTAATGAAAACATTATTGGTGGTATTATCGTAGAAATTGGTAACTATACTGTTGATTTAAGTGTAGCACATAAAATTCTTAAGTTGAATAAAGCACTTACTGGTGATAATATTTTATATTTTTTTTTTTAAAAAATAATAACTTGTTCAGATTCTATTTAAATTGATATTTTTATGTATTAGATGGACAAAGGTAATCTCGAGTAAATTGATTCTTTTTCAACGAATTTGAATTTTAATATAATATTTTTTACATAAAAGAATGTTAATAAAAAATAATTTTCCCGTTATTGTTGCTTTAAGAATTTTATATAACATTTAAATATATTAAAAATCTAACTTATATTTTACAATATTAAAAAGAACAATGTTTTGTAATTGGGTAATTTTTTGAAAACAGAAATAATAAATCATTTATTATTTTGAATTTTTTAGAAATAAAAAATCCACTTTTAACATATATGTATATATATAAACATGTAGATTAATTATCTTGCAAGTAAGATATATATCCTTTTTTTAAACAAATAAATAAAATTAATCTCGGAAACTTATGGTATATAGATTTTTTCAAATACTTATCTACATAACTAAAAAATAGAAGCGAAATGTTTATTTCATAATGCTCATTTTTATACAAGTTAATAACAACGATTTTATATTATTCTAATTAGTAAAAATATCAATATATTTTGTTTAAAAATAAAAGATTCCACACAATTTTTCAGAATTTTATTATTTATGAAACTTTCTATATCTCAACTATCCTATCTACATTCTTCTTTACTTCAGGTTCCGCCTATAAGACCGGATGCTAGAAGTCCTACTCAGTTTCGTCCTTTATTTGCACAAGTAGATATTCTTCCATTAGCTTATGGGTCATCACATATTAAATGGGATAATACAAGTGTTATTGTTAGTATTAAGGCAGAAATAATTAACTCAGTGGATCTAGATATTTTAAGAAAATGCAAAAAAGGTGGTAAAATATCTGTTAATGTAGAAATGTAATTTTATTTTTCTATAAACCCGAAATAATTTTAGATAGATTCCCTAATACATTTCATGAAAACAACGACGATGAAGCTATGTCTGCATTTCTTACTCAGTCAATATTACAATCTTTATCAGGCATTAGTCTTGAACATCTTTTAGTGACACCAACTAAGGCTTGGTCTATATTTATAGACGCAGTTGTTAGTATTTTACCATAAACCCATATGTATACTTATCTTTATAAAGGTAATTTCACCAAATAATCATGCTCTTCCAGCACTTGCATTAGCTGTTCGTCTTGCACTTCAAACAACTAAATTACCTCATATTATAGCACATATTGCGCCCGGGTCTATAGATACAGATAAAATTGCACAGGATATTGGTTCTGGAGATTTTGAAGTTGATTATGATTTAAAAAATGGAGTGCCAATACCTGATATTGAAAAAGTTGGTGTAATTATTTTTGTTGGAAATGTTGGGGACAATATTTTTTATGATTTAAGTTGGGATGAAATAGCAGTTGCTGATGGAATTCTTGCAGTGGGAGTTCTTAAGGATGGACAAATCACATATACTCGAAGAATTCATGCATCTAGTAATTATAAAACATCAAATTATGGCTTAAAAAGTTCAATTATAAAAAGTATGCTTGAAGGTGCTGCAAATATGGGGAAAGAATTAATTCAGAAAAGTGAAGAAGATGTAATTCACCATTCCAGTAATCTCCAAATGGGCTTTTCTTATTCTTTTTAATAAACATATGATTATACAAATATCTTTTGATAAGCTAAATATAAGAAAAAACACTAAAAGGTGAAGAAATTTACAAATTTTTCTCAAATAAATAGTTCATTAAAAGTCATCTTTAATTTTTTACTTTTTTTTTATATTCTCAGCATTATACAAACATATTACTCTATAGTCAACAATACACTATCTTTTGTATTCAGTAAAAATGCTATATCAGATTATCTACATTATTGAAAATGTTATATATTTTTTTTTTTATATCTATAATATCTAGTCAAATTTTATTCTGATAGCTTTATGCATTTAAAAAATCAAAATTTATAAAATACTTTCAAAAGCATCATTAGTGATTTATATGCAAAGAGTATAGACTAAAAAGTTATTTTGAACATTTATATGGTATATGTATGTATTTTTCAAATTTTTTTTATTAACTAATTTCTTAAATGCTATTCAAAGGCAACGATAAGATAAGGTTATTAATATTTTTAAGATTAAAGTAATATTAATAGAGGATCAAGAAAAGATTGCCACAAAAGAGTGAAGCCGTGCTTCAGCGGCTAACAGTCTTTGTGTGGCATCAACAAGTGCAATAAATGCAGAATCAAGCAGAAAAGATGACGGAGGTTTTAAGTAATAAATTTGAAATTTTAAGTAATATTGGAAATGGAAGTTTTGGGAATGTTGTTCTTGCACGTTTAAAAAATTCTAATTGTTCAGAACGATCATTGGTAGGTAGAAATACATAAAATATTTTTTTCAACGCATAAAAAAATATGATAAAGTTACTTGAAATACATAAAAAATAGATAAATTGCAAGACAAAAAACATTTAAGAGAATTAAAAGATGAAAAATTTAATTTATGAAAAAACATTTCTAAATAAAATTTTAATATAATATTAACTTATATAAGGTTGCTATCAAAACTATGAAAAAAACATTTCAGACGGTTTCAGATTGTCTTAAGCTTCGAGAAATACAGGTTTAAACATTTTTAATAAAAAAAATGATTGATGTTGTGTGATAGTCGTTATATAAACTGCCTCCCCATCCACATATCATTTCTATATATAATAGTTTTCTTGATCCTACAACAAAACGATTGCATATGGTTATGGAACATATGGAAGGAAATTTATATCAACTTATTAAGTCTAGAAACAAAAAGGTTTTTAATGTCCAAACTATACAAAACATATTGTATTTTCCCTATATATTTTTTTTAAAGAATCTCAACATAAGTATTTAGATATCAGGTTTTGTCAGCCATAAAACATATTCATGATCACAATTTCTTCCATAGAGATATCAAGCCAGAAAATATTTTAGTTTCTTCTGTTTCAAATCAAAAGTTATCAGAATTACCGAATTTGAATAATAAATTTCAAACGCATTCAGAAGATGTAACGTATATAATTAAGCTTGCAGATTTTGGATTAGCTAGAGAAATTACATCTCAACCACCTTATACATCATATGTTTCGACAAGATGGTATCGTGCTCCAGAGGTACTTCTTCGTGCCAATGAATATTCTGCACCTGTTGATATCTGGGCTTTTGGAGCAATGGCTGTTGAGTTGGCTACTTTTCGTCCTTTATTTCCTGGAACAAATGAAATTGATCAAATATGGAGAATTTGTGAAATTATGGGTAGTCCTGCTACATGGATTCATACTGACAAAAATATTGAAATTGGAGGCGGGGAATGGAAAAAAGGATTAAAATTAGCCGAAAAACTTGGTTTTTCTTTCCCAAAGGTACTATATATATATATATATATATATATATTATTTAAAATATAATTATTAGATTCCTCCAATATCTTTGGAAACTATTTTGTCAGATTCATGGCCTTCATCATTTGCGTCCTTTATTAGATGGACAATGCAGTGGGATCCTCTTCGAAGACCTAGTTGTATACAAGGTCTTGAACATCAATTCTTTCATAAAATTAACAATTCACCAGAAATACAGATTATAGAAAGCACAAATTGTATTTCTACATCTTCACAATCTTTGCAAAAAAAGTTAAATACTGAACTCAAAAATTTTCAAGATAACAAAATAAAAACTGATACAAACAAAGCATTGTTTATAAATGAAAAACATTTAGATATTTGTTCTCAACTTCAAAAAAGACTATCTTTTAGTTTACGACATTTTTTGTTTCGTAAAAAATATAAAACAACACTAGAGTCTAAAAGGCTGAAACTTAAAGATATTTCAAATGATAATTTTTTAGAACTCAAAACAAATTCATGGAAACTGAGATCTAAAAATCGTTGCTACTGTTCAATTTGCAAAAACAGAACTTTAAATTTAGAAGCATTAAAAGAATCTATAGTTCCTAAAAAAAATAATCAAACATCAACAGAAATATTAAGAAAACCTAGTTTATACCAAGGAAATACTATATCTATTAAACCACTCATTGCTAATAAAAGACAACTAGAAAATGCTAATATACAAATGGGTTATCCTCTACTTAATTCAATTATGTTAAATACAGAAAATTCAATAGTAAATTATCCAAAAAAAAAAGAATATGATATGGGGGTTTCTCTAGATTTACATAAAAAAGAGAAGCAATTAAAAAAACCAGATTTGAACACTTTATATAGTTTTAAAACGAACAATCGGCATATAAATAATCCCCCAAATATTCTAGCTTTCCGAACATTTCAAACATCAGATCAAAGTTTAAAAGCTTTTAGTATAAAATCAAATAAAAAAAACACTGAAGAGGCTGTACAGACTGCCTATAATTCAATTATATCTGCTAAAAAGTTTCATGCTAATATATCTCAAAACAACCCATCATGTTCTATTAATCAACATAAATTAATCAATGGACTCACTTCATTTGAAACTGAAAATTCTAAACTATTAAATGTTTTAAATCATGATACTTCATATGAACATAATATAAATGAAAGCAAACATGTGAAAAACACATTATGTTCTACTTGTATAGCAAGAAGAGTAAAAGGAATAGATGCTAGAGTAGAAAAAAACAAAAACCATTGCTACAATTATTGTCCTTATGAATATGATATAGAAAGTGAAAAAAAAAAGAAACAGTTTTTAACAGATTCAAAAAACAAATTACTTTTAAAACACATTTCTCGGCCATTTAATATATCTAAACTATATTCTAATTTGAACATCATGAACCAAAAGTCAGCATGTACGAGTCTACAAAATAATAATTCTTTAAAATACGAAAATAAGTACAAACAAAATATTTTAATAAGGAAAAAAAAACCACTAGTCGTATACCAAGTTCAATTTAAAATTAAACACCCTTAGTCAAATGTATAAGCTACAACATCGATTTCTAAATTTTCTCCACTAACTTTTTTTATTATTAATTTTCTTTTGGTTCATTTGGTTCACTTATCATAAATCTAAGTGGTTTTATAAGGCATTGTTTTAATTACTACATTAATATTAAATATTCCAATGCCAATAAATATTCATCAAAAAAATCAAAACCATTAAAAAATTTAAAAAAATTACGTTATTACTTCTCAATTAGATTTATTCAATGATTCACTTGTGTTGAAACAAATGTTTTTGTGTTTTTTAGGTAAAGAATGTTTTTTTAATTTTTCATTTCAAAATGTTATAATGTTTTAAACATTAAATATAATTTTCTTATGTATTTTTTTAAATATGCTTTTATTTTTAAATATATAAAATACTCTCGAATATCTAAAATATAAAATAAGTGGTAAAAAAGTGTTTAGAAAATATTTAATATAAACTAAAACTAAAATTTGTAGGCTCAGAGTGGTAATGTGTTATTAGAGTTTTATAATAATCAAATAAGTTCATCAATAAAAAACTTTGATAAATTAGAAATATCTTAAAAACATTCTATATTTTTAATTATAAATACACAATAAAAAGATAGACAAATGCTTGGAAAACACGGTATGTTTTTATTCAATTCTAAATATATATATACATATATATTGTCTGTGTTTAAGAAATGTTGATATTTAAAGACCAAAAATACAACATACCATCTCTTCGTCCACAAACTCGAAAAATTGCAAAATCAGTCATAGATAAACGATGGACTCGAATTTCAGAGTCATCGCTTGCACAAATTGTAGAAATATTGAAAGATATTGAACGGTTTAAAAGATACATATTTATAATATTAGCTGAATTGTTATAGACCAGTTATTATGAGTATTCGGCATAAAACACGAAGGACGGATGCACAAAGAAACTTAAATATAATGATTAATAAGTATTTATTGTATTTTTATTCTTAACATTGTTTAATTACATTAGAATTCGAGACCGTCTTTCAAAATTATTAGTTCCACCTTCTTCAAAAGAATCATATAATTATGAAAAATTGAGAGAGAAAAATGTCTCATTATATACATATATATATATTAATATTAATATTGGTTAGAAAGAACTTGAATCTATTCTTATTTCAAATTTAGAACAAATATCACAACTGGAAAAAACATTAGATTGTGAAAAAAAGTTACCCTTATTTTTTTTAAAAATTATATACTGATAGTGAAAAGTTTACTTACAAAAGAAGAGACAGATTTTCGAGAATTAGCAAAAAATGCGCAATATAATGAAAATTCAAGAAAACAACAGCTTAAAAAAGTATCATGTCTGAGAAAATATTTATCTTTAGTTAATACATATAGCTTCATCCTTTATTAAGACCGCAAGATGATCAATTAGAACCTGAATTTTCATATACTCAAATTAATCTAGATGAAAATAATAATCTTTCTTACGATGTTTGTGTTTTTATTTGTAAATTTAACCTTTAATGATCATATAGGTATCAAATGATAGGTCATATATTCTTCTAGAAAAACAATTAAAACAATATATTAATAGTATAAAATCAAGTTCAACAAAAGTTGAAAAAATTATTCAATCATCTCAAAAAACACAGGCTGCTTTATTAAAGATTCTAGCATTATATGATCACTCTTTATTATATAAAATTTTAATTGAGACATGTATTTAAAAAAATATTTATACTATTTTACATGCATCTTGTTTTTAAAAAATGTAATCATAAAAAAACAATTTCATGGATTATGTTCTTTAAATCATGGTTCAATTCGTTTAATTAAAAATAAAAGATTATTTACAATAAAAATAATATTAAGTTTATTTTAGTATTTTTAAAAATATGTTAGGATAAACACTTGTGTATATTTTTTTATAAAAAATAATGTTAATTTTTCAAACTTATTCTAGTATAGTATTTTAATTTTCAATAATAAAGTGATTTTTATATAATTAACGTTAAAATTTATCTTAAGATAAAAACGAAAAATTATTTAACTTTTTTAAAATTTAAATAAAAACATAAAAACGTCATAATAAGATTATATATCTATAAAATAAATAAAAATAATTCTTGTTTCTACTTTTGTACAATTAAAAACCTTAATGTAAAATTAATGATAATAATTCTAATGTAAATTGTTTAAATCATATATTTATTACAAAATTGCATAAAAAGCATTCTAACGTTCTTATTTTCTGAGTTTTGACATAATTGTAGGATCACTATTAGTTTCGATTTGAATTTCTTCGCGTTTTATAGTCTCTATAATTTCTTTAGCAGCACTTTTATCAAGATCATCTCTTTTAGTGAGAATATCTTCAATATACCAAAGAGGGATATCCCAATAATCACGTTTAAATGCGTTATATTCATCTAAAAATAATTTTCGAGTTGTAGATAATAAAGTTAACATTTTCTCAATAACTCTAAAATGATATTCCAATTCTTTAGAATCTATATACCTAGAAAACAATCCAAATATTAACCGTACATCTTCCCTTATTTGCTCAATACAATCGGGTGTTTTAAATCTACATCCTTTATTTCTCACAGAAGATAAATATGTAACTATAAACTCAATTAAAAGTTCTTCTACTAAAATTCCATAAAGATTTTCATTAAGATGTGTTTTGCAGTCATTAAGATATTCTTTATATGTACTTATAATTAGTGACATATGATTCCCTCCATACCAAAGAGGAGTAAAAAAAGAAGAAAGGGCAGATTTAAGATCGTTGTGAATAAGTTTAACAAGAGAAATTATACAAAGATGAGAGAGATCAAGAAATTCATCTGTTGTTTTGCTAAGACAGTCTGATATCTCTAGTTTATATTTTTCAGAAACCCAAGGTGAAATGCGAGCTGAAATAGCTTCAGTGTAATCAGCACAACGTATTTGATCATTGGCTAGTGCAATAATATATTCAGCCAATCCCCCTGGAACATCATTAGGTTGGTCAATATGCTTTGTAATTTCAGAATGCAGAAGATTTTCCCATGATTCTCTATGTCGCCGAAGTACTCGAGAACATTCTATAACAACACCTAAAAGTACTCTGCTTTGATTGCTTTCTGCAGCAACATCTGTTTGCTGACTTATCATCTGAAACATTATAACCGCTCCAGGCATACCGTATAAATTATCAGTATCAACTTCCGGTTGTTCTTCTCTTATAACAAAACTATTAAATTCCTTTTTTGACAAATTAGAAATCCATTCATCCATTTTTTTAACAATTAATTTCAGATAATCATCGATAAAATCTGATTCTCTACCATCTAAAAGTCTAGGGGTTAATTTATCTCGAGTAATACCAAATTCTTTATTTATTCTAGAATAATATTTTTTTACAAATTCAAGCATTTTTAAAATAGTTTTTGCATCTGGCTCTTGAATTACCATATTTTTTAAAATATTATAAATACCAGAATGATAGAAACCAAGAAAAATATCAAAGATATTCCATTTTGGTGGAACAAGATGAACTATTTCTTTTTTTACAAGATGTAAATCATCAAAAATCCAATAAATGTTTTCCAAAATTGCTATATAATCGAATTCATATGTTTCTTCAAAATCCTTTAAATTTATATCAATAGAAATTTTTATTTCATCAAAAAATCGTTGTTTATAATTACGAAGAACACGTGGACCTCTTTGAGATTTTATAACTTTAGGAAATAAATCATTATTATTGACTTTAAGGTTTTCACTTTCAATAAATTCATTGTCAAGTTTATCCTCAGTATCAATAATTTTAGCTAAACGTACAACGAGATCATGATTTCCACTCTTAACAATTTTCAAAATGTCTTGGGTAAGAACCCAAAGCATATTTTCAAATAGCTTTAAAGAAGTATTTAATCTTGAAAAATAACGTTCAAGTGTCCTTTGTACATCATTACCAGCATTTTTACTTTGGTAAACTGCCTCGTCCCTAAAATTTTGTAATTGATTAAGCTTATAATGAATATTTAAAAAATTCTTCATCCTTGTTGCTTTATCTGAAATAATTAAAAAAGGAATAAATATTATATTTAAATTATACCTTCATCTTGTCGCATCATTATGTCTATTTTATCAAGTTCTTTTGGTAAATTCCGTAAACTTTCCGTCATCTTTTGTACATCATCAAAATTTTTATAAATTTTGGAAGCCTAGAAAGTTACTTAATTTTTTTATCACTTAAATTATTCTGACATTATCTATAATAGAAAAATTGTCAATCATTTGTGACTCTGCATATAGTTTATCGACCTAAACAGTAAAATACAATGTAACTAATCAATAATCATACCCTAAGCATAGATTCTCTTATAGAATACATCTGCTGTTGTGTTGAGCTTAACAATATTAATCCTGACTGTTTTAAACGTTATTTATTAATTTTAATAAATATTAAAAAAATTACATGAATAATAGAGAACTGATCCTTAACAATAGCTTTAAGCTGAGTATCAACTGAAGATTTTTCACGAGAAAAGCGAGCAATTAGGCTATCCAGTTTATATAAATCCTACAGATTTTATTATTATTATTCCCATTTATTTTTTAAATTTACATCAGGTTGACGTAAAAGCTCCTCAACCCTATATGCTAGTTAACTAAAACTATTTATTTTTTCTAGTCAGACCGTCTTATTGCAATATCTAAAGGCTCTCCCATATTTTAAGTTTTTTTTAAGTTTGAGGGTTAATCGAATAACCTCTTAAAATTAATAAAAATCATGTCATTTTTTAAAATAACACTTCAACGTCTTTTATGTTATATTTTAGATATTCAGTAACTAATTGATTACAGGATCTTATATAGGATTGCCTAAAAATATTAAACGGACTCTTTTATCACTGGGTTTACGCAAGAGACTAGCTACTGTTTATCATAATATTTCATCTATCACTGCAGGCAAAATTTTAAAGGTTAAAGAGCTTGTTTCTGTTGAAGAAGTTGAGGAACGTTTAACACGTCAAGAAATGCGTTTTTTTCGGCGTCCTAGTAAGGGTTATTACATAGAGTCTTGAGTTTTAAAACAAAAAAGATGAAACAATAATTAATTTGTTTAAAAGTAGAAAAATCATGTTTATGATAAAGAACAAGTTTATAAAGTACTTTTTAAGTATGAATTATTATTTTTTTAACTTTTACAGCAATTTTTTATATTTTTGTATTTACATTGTTTTAAAAAATATAAAAAAATAACTCTAATCAAAAAAGTATAAAAACAAAAAAATGAGTCTTTTAAAAGAATGTTCATTTTTGTTTATGTTAGATATGATAATTCAGAATATAATGCATATTAGATATATAAATATCAGAATCAATATTTTATTAAGAATTCAGGGTATCTTATAGACTTGATATTTTTTCAGCATGTTTATTTTGATGTTATGATAACATAGAATGTATGAGAAATATTTTTTATATGTTTTATATATAAATAAAATTTTAAATGAAACACGATCTTTGCCTCTTTTACATAAAAGATATATTTTAAGAAACATAAACATGTAATAGTATTTTATAAGTCAAAAATAAAATCGCAACAAAAAATTAACCATTAAAAACTTCATTATTTCATTTACATGTAATTCTACGCAAAAAAATTACATGTTTGTAAAATAGACCTCAAATATAATTATAGAATTATTCAAGCGTTCCAGGGAAATTTCCTAAAAAGATTATATATTGAATTCTATACTGTCATTTAAAGTAAAATACCTGCTTCTCTCTACCAACGATCAGTTAAAATAGAGTAAGTGTGCTGTAATGTAGTTTACCTGCGTATCCCATTGCTGCATCCATTCATTAGGGCCTTTATATCATTATTATTATTTATAATCAAACATAAAAAGCTAATTTATACATAAACTATGGTATGCACTCCAAAATTGCTTACATGGAGCAAAATCTTCGCCATGTGTATTAATACACTTATGATAATCAATATAATTTTGATAACAGTGCTAATAATATTATTAATTGATATTATTAACAGAATATTTTACCTTTGTCTAATTCAAATTGCACAAAAAGTGCACATTTAGTCAGAAGACATTTTTTAATGTTTAAATATTTAAAAATACCTGGTTCATATTTGGAAATCTACTATCAAATCCTACGGTTTTAAATTGTCTTGAACTACTATTTATTAATAAAATAAAATATAAATAGAAAAAAGAAAATTAATAATATACTTTAAGTCTATTTCTGACATCTTAATCTTTAAGATATGATTATTTAGTAAGTATTTTTATTTTAAAAAAAATAAAAATTTAACTGATTACGAATATAATTTGTTCAATTTAAATTCATAATTAAAGAAATATAATAAAATTTATAAAATATTTATAAAGATGAAAAAATTTTTAAATAATTAATACATTTAATATTTTTATTTTTGAAAATTAAAATTTCAAACAAATATATCTGAAAATATTAAATATTAATTATATACTTATATACTCTTCAAATAAAAAAAAATCAACTTTAAGTATAAAAAATATAATATCAAACATAATAATCCTTTTCTAAATAAAATAAATATAAATAAACGTTTAAAATAAAGAGAAAAAGAGTTAAAAACATAACCCGAATATTGATTTCAAAATTATTTAATGAAGAAAAAACAAGATTAATATTTATATTTATAAGAATTTTTAAAAAAATTATAAATATTAAAATATAAAAAAATCTTTTTTATTTATACGAATTATAACCCCTTTAACAGTAAAAATTTTTATAATGTAAAAATAAGAAATATATTAAACATTTAATGATATTAAAATAAAACATATAACTATTAATAATTTTTATATATAAAAATAAAAAAATAATATAATTGATAAAAATATATATAAATTTTAAATTAAGACATAAATATAATAATACATCATAAACAATATATGGAAAATTTAAAATTAATTGAATTGTAATAAACAATATACTTTTTTAATAATACCAATAATACTTAAACCAAACATAAATACTTTATATTTTTTTTTTTTCAACTAATTTGTTAACTTCTTCATGAGATGACTTAAAAAAAGTGTATGATAATGTTATTGTTTCAATATTTCGTACAAGTGGATCATTAACGAAATCAGGATCAATAAAAAAAAATACCTTTTAAACATAATTAATATGAAAATTATTTTTTATACATACTGGCATATCAACAGATTCACCTGAATTCAATTTTTGTTCTTTTATTTGTTAAATATATTTTTTTAAAGATGTTTATACCTTCAAAACAAAAACATGCAATTTTTGAAAAATATGATGCAGCCTAAAATCAATTATAAATAAATTTTATAAATAAATATAAAAATAAAACCTGCGGAGGAGAAACACTATATGTTGAAATTCCTATTGATTTTAGAAGAATCAAATGTTTATAATATAAATATACCAATGATATCATGATCACTTTTATTATGAGCAGTATAAAATGCTCTCCATATTAGAAAAAAAATATTTAAGCCAGACAAACAATTACCTAATGCTGTCTTGTATTCTATATTAGAAAAATAACATAACATAAACTTAATCATTTACTTCTCCTGGTAAAACATAAATTTCTTTTTGCAAAGGGACAAATTTCCATTCAAGAGTGTCAGAGACATCTGCATTAAACGTAACACGAATCCTTTTTGCATTTTCTATAGGAATCATTTTATCAGGAGTAAATTTTGAGACATCAATAACAGGCATGCCAGCTGAAATAAAAATAAATCAATTTTCTTAAAAAAATAATTTATTAGTTACCCCATCCCATTTTCTGACATACCATCCTATATAAAGGAACAGAAGCATATGAAATCCCTAAAATCCCAATCAAAACAGAACATGTATAGAACAAAACAGATTGATTATGTTTTTTGAACCGAGTCTTTGGTTGATCATATAAAAAACGGGAAAATCTATATGGAAAAGGAAGTCCTGAAAATCCAAAAGCTTTTATATATTTTCTGTAATGAAAAATCATTATCTTTTTTATCATTTTTACATAATTCTATAGATATTAATTTTTACATTATCACATCGTTTTAATTTTACACCTTGAAAATCAGACAGAATAAACTTTTAGGTTATTTTTTTAGAAAAAATAACCACAAAAGGCTTTTTTATGAAAGACATATTTTTTATTGTATGCTTTAAATGTTTAAAAATATTATATTCTTACGTTGCAGATCTTTTATTAAATGTTTAAAACAATTTTAAGTAATTATAAATGGATATACACAAATCTAAAATTCATAAAAGTGAAAATTACCCGTAAATACATGTTTTTCCCTTTTAGATATAAACTAATTGGAATAGATTTTGGTTTGGTGGTAAAAATAATATTAAATTTACTTTAATTAAACTTCTAAAAAGGAACCGCAAGTTGCATAGCTACATCTATTACTGTAATACAATTTCTTTTAATATTTATTCTTTTATTTTACTAGCATCCTTTGGATTTTATAAAAGTAAGAATGCAAACAAGCAAACAAAGATCTATAGGTGTCACTCCTACAATTATTAATATTATTCGCAATGAAGGCAATAAGATTATTTATTTTTAAGAAACACACTCAATATAACCAATAGGGTTTAAATCTATGTATTCAGGATTAACTGCTAGTATTTTACGACAGGCAACGTATTCGACAATACGTTTTGGAATTTATGAAAGATTAAGAGACATCGTTACAGAAAAGAAAGGTATATAAACCATCTATTTTTATTATAAATATTTTCTACTAATAGGAAAACCACCATCATTTGACACACTTCTTTGTATAGCAACCATATCTGGAGCGTATAAAACTCTCACGAAATTTTATAAACTTACTTTTAATAGCATAGGAGGAATTGTTAGCAATCCTGTAGATATTGTTAATGTTATTTTTAAACACAAAGTGCTTCTTTCCTTTTTTTAATGATAAACAGGTTCGTATGCAAACTGACAAGTCATTACCACACGGGCAAAGAAGAAATTATAAAAATGTATTTCATGGACTATATTTAATTTCTAAAAACGAAGGATTTTTTTCTTTTTTTAGAGGCTTATTTCCAAATACAATAAGAGCAATATTAATTACAGCAAGCCAGTTATCTAGTTATGATCAATTTAAAAGAATCATAGAAAAATCAGATTATTTTCCAAAACAAATTTCTAAAAATCTTGTAGTTCGTATAAATAAATAAGAAAAAACGTTAATTAATTTTTTAAAGGCAGCAATATTAGCGGGTTTGGTTGCAACTACAATGTTTGTATAAATATATAAATTCTTTGATTCTAAAAAAAGTAGCTGTTCTCCAATAGATGTAATAAAATCAAGAGTTATGAATTCAAATGGATATATGAGTATATTGTTTGTTTTTAAAGAAATTAAAAAAGAAGGAATCAGATTCATATTCAGAGGATGGACACCATCTTTTATAAGACTAGGTCCTCATACAATTATTACTTTTGTAAAAGAGCCGATATAATTTGGGTTATAAAATAATGTTTTATAGACTATTTTGGAAGAATTTAAAAGTTTATGGCAAATAAAATGCAAAAAAAAGATTCTAAAATCATAGAAAGAATTAGTTTTTTAATATTTAAATGCAACATATGACCTAATATTACATGTTTTAAATATTTACAACTTTTTCGAATTCATTATTTAACTCCATGTTATTGTTTCATCCCATTCATTCGTAGTTTTATCTGAAAGATGCATATCATCGCCAAATCCTGTACTCCCAATACCCATATTTTCTGAACTACTTCTTTGCAAATCTCTTACAATAGTAGCTAACTTTACTTGAAGGTATTTTATTCCTTGTGATATAACTTCATTCGGTGTTAAAGATCCTACTGTCTAATGACTTTTAATTAAAATAAAAAACAGAAATAAAAATCTACTTCAATACAAAAATAAAATTTGCTTGGTTCTGCTGTATAGTCAAATGCTTCATCTCGTGGAGCTTCTTCCCAATCAGAATTTTTACTTTTTGGCCTATTTATATATTAGCTACTAACATAAAATAACTTTTAAATAAACCATTCAGCGTCGGAACTTTCTTCGAACCAATAATCAGTATGGTGCAATTTATTCCATGGATCATATTCAAATGCAATAGCAGAGACTGGAGACCATTTTGCATGTTCTTTTGCAATACCCTGATCATTTTAGCCTACAATAATACAATATTAAATTTAAACTTTCTTCGCAATACATTTAAGCCGGAGCTCTTGTGCTTTCCTTAATTTGCAAATCAAAATACCTTTTCCATCTGGATCTACTCCATTTAATATATAAAACATAAAGTTTTTTTTGATACCGTCAATTACAGGCGTACCAATCGTTGAATTATGTTCGACAATCAAATCTTTAGAATATACATCCATCGTCCCATCAGATGTACATTTTGCATATAAAGTAAGTTGAACCGAGCATTTTGTACAATATTGATCACAATCACAATCCTGAAAAAGGTTATTTTTTTTTCTAAAAAAAAATTAAAAAAAAAGAATATACCCTAGTATATACAAGCTTATCATCAACATTTGCAGAATCAAGTGGGATCATTCCCAATCGATGAGTAATAAACTCATCTGCAAGAACAGACGTATTAATTTCAATTTCCACTAAATCAATTGCTAAAAAAGCATTTGAGTACCAAAAAACACAGAATATACATTTAAAATACCAACAGTAGGTACCTCCGCTAGAATAACTCGCCGAAGTGAGTTTGCAAATCTAATTTTATGTTAGAAATGATTCATTATTTTTCATATTAATACGCAAGATCCACATTAGAAAGCACAAAATCAATACTATTCTTCTCTATATTCCTTATAGTGACTTGAGGACCTTCTCGAGAAGTCATCTCAAGTTATAAGGCTTTCTTTAGCCTATATTTAATTTTTTAAATTTTTTTGACGTTGCCTTTAGCATATACGAGTTCACACCTTAACGTTAGAAAAAATATAGGATAAAATAATAATAGAATTTTAGAATATTTTTGAAGTATTTCAAGTAAAAGAAATATAAAAAAGAATAATTCTTTATAAAAAATACTTTTTCTTAAAAACAAGTAGAAAATAAAAAAAAAAACAATAATAAATGAGAGAACGGTTCTTTTTTGCACTTGCAAGAATTTCAGCAATTCAAATTATGCGTTCAGCTGGAATTAGCCGTGCAAAACATAGTGTTACAGATAGTTTTACAGATATTTTTATCCGGTGTCTTCTTTTGCTTGGTACAACAGCAAAACATTTTGCAGAAATGTCAGGTAGACCATTAGTTGAAATGGAAGATTTACGTGCAGCTATGGAAACCACAGGAGTATTGAGTGCATCATCAGGAGAAGATGATGTGGAGCCTATTAAGGAGTTCATAGAATGGTGCAAAAGCTCTTCTACAGCAGAACTTCGGCATATTTCTGGTCAAGAATCTACACCTGACCATTCAAATGTCGGATGGCTAGATAGTAGCCCCCCGATTATCTTAATAGCACCAACTAATGATTTTGAAGAACTAATGCAAAAACATATTAAAGAAAAATTTATAGGCACAGTCCTCGATAACAATTTTGAAACACCAATTCCTCTATTAGCAGATCCACGGGTTGTTGATCTCCCTGTGCTACAGGGTGGAACAGAAATAGTATTGAAAGAGGAATGATTAGATTTTTTGAAATATTTTATTTAAAATAGACCGTAAATAAGAATTTTATACATCGATTATTAAACATAATTTTTCAGCCAATTCTGTTCCTAAAGCAGAAACGCTTTCTGTAACTATACGTCTAACATGTTTTTTAGATTGATAATATGTTGACTGAGTTGCAGGTATGATCGTTTTATTTTCTAAAACATATATTTTTCCAAAATCGAAATGTTGAATATCTTTTTCTTTTAAAGTTCCAGGCATGTCATAGTCAAAAAGACTGTTGCTATAACTCTGTTTATATGTTTCAGAAGTTTCTTGATTTTTAACATCTGCATGTGATGAACTAGTAGAAGCAATAAAGGAACATGTATCTAACACAGTTTTGGGAGAACAAAATGAAACATATAATGATCCACTAGCCTTCCAATGTTCTATATACTTCTCTATAGGTATCCAAATATACGTTTCCTTTAATTGTTAGTATTATTTTTATTAAAATTAGCCCCTATACAGGATCCAGCAACTCGCTTGGTCGATATTCTCCTTTGTATTTCATTTTTTGATTATTATAAATATAATAGCCTAAAAGTCATGAGTTCATATTTCCTAGAAACACAATATTTACCCATATAATAAAATTGGCTTTTTCTTTCTTGTGTCATACACACCTCTTGACATACACTTATTTTCCCTAAACATAAATGCTGCAAACTACTTTCATACATAAAATAAACACTTGAAATACCACTTGGTAAAACATCAATCACTCCCATAGCAACAAGCTTTCCGTCTAATCTGTAACATTGATGAAAAGAACCATATCCGGTTTCAGGTTCATATGTTAAAGGAGTGTCGCAAAGAAACCGAATAAAATTTTCTTTTTTTAAATTATTTAATGTTTCTTTATGCACAGAAGTCTGATAACTAACATATAAAGCATACTTCTCATCCGTATATGCAGCTGACTCGAAAGTGACCTTGAATGTATGGAAAGGAATAAATTGATTGTTTACTTCACAATTTTTCTTAACTATTTCATCTGTCTCCATAGTATGAATAGTATCATACAAATTCCAAGATTGAGAATCTTTTATATCTTTTCCCCAAATGTACTGATGAAAGCGTCGAAGCACTTTCCTATGACTTTTACTTGGCCGAAATTCTTGTGCATTTAACCTATAGTATTAATTACTTAAAAGACAAAGTATTATTGCATACCTAATTGTATATAATACACAACAAGAGCGTTTTCCATTGGGTTTATAAATGTATCGACCAGAGCGTCTTATATAGTTAAAGACTATTTAGTAGAAAAACATTTCTACCTCCAACCTCGATTCATCAATGATTCATAAGTCTTGAAAATATCAGAAACATAAATGAAGAATTAAAATGAGAGCTAAGAAGAGAATATAGTTTTTTAAGAAGCTTTAAAACAACAAAATTTTTAAAGTCCCGTTAAAAATATTACTGATTATAATAGCAAAAAATGACAAAGGTTAAATGAATAAACAGTTTATACTGTAAGAATTGATTAAAAATATAAAGCCAAGATCACAAAATAATAAAATATTGATAAGAAATCTATAAAGTAATATTAATAAAAAACAAAGAATCGAGAATTATTTTAAATATTTCCCATTTATAAAAATATAAATCAGTTGTATATTATCCCTAGAAAAATAAATGAAAAAATAACCCCAAATTCCTTATAACTTGTTCAAAAAAGCTCTTAAAAGCATCTTAGACTTATTAAAATATTCTTCTCAGCTCTCTAAAGAAAATAAACCTGACAATCCATTATATACGCCCAAAACCCAATAGTTTCCATGCCTTGCCCATTCACAGAACTCGAGCCACAGTACCCACAATCATTGCACATATAACCTAAATACCGGACAAGTCCTTTATGCATTTTAATAGAAATAGTTTATCTTAACTTTATCCAGCTTTTTACTTGTTTTAAACAAAAATAAATTTTTAATACTTTTTTGATATTTTTTAATTTTTTTTAAAAATTTTATTAGCAATTATCTATAATTCTTAAATTTCTTTTAACTTTTTGCTTAACAATTTCTAAAAAATTTTAAGAGATCTTAATATTTTAACGGATCTTACCAAAATCTTATCGGATCTTTAAGATAACTTGATTTCCGAGAGAGGATGCTGCAACGACATAAAGATATTAATAAGAAGAAAACGTATTTTATAGTGATTATAAGGGCACTGCCTGTCTAGATTAGAACAGGCCGTGTGCATTTACCTGCACGGGAATACGGCACCTTTTTTTCCGGCGAAAACAGCGCCATATGCCTGATTTTCAGGGAGAACGATGTGACATTACACCTATCGTCACACCTGTACAGCGATCCATGGTTTCTCGCACTGATCGCACTAAGGAGCGATAGTAAGTCTTAATATATGACGTTTTCTCGTTTTTTCGGTGTAACTAATGTTTATAGTGATGAAACAGGCGCAAGGTAAAGGATTAACGGGCTTAATAGATATTCAGAGCCTAGAGGCAAAAAAAAGAACTAATAAGGATATAGATTAGTTGCGGGTATTGTTCCTCTTTCATCTACTAAGACGCATCCTGGATTTCCTGAAAGAAAATATATTTTATGCATCAGTTCAACCAACAACAAACAATCATGGGTTTTGCCAAAAGGTGGATGGGAGATCGATGAGCTAATTGAGGAGGCAGCACTTCGAGAAGCATGGGAAGAAGGTCTGCTTGCTTTTGCATGTTTTATTCTGAATATTGATTGATAAGCTGGTATTGTTGGTAAAATTACGTGCTCTCTTGGAATGATGCACGACCCGCGTCCAGCAAAGACATTTCAACGAGCAGTTAAATATGTGATGCAGGAAGATCATCCATATGTGTTTCATAATTCATGCATTCCTCCTCGTGCAATTTTTCAATACTTTGAACTTGATGTAGAGCGTCTTGAAGACGAATATCCTGAAATGAACAAACGTATACGTAAATGGATGACTTATTCAGAAGCAAAAGAAGCCCTTGCGTGGCGACTAGAAATGGTTGAAGCATTAGAACGAAGTTCAATCCTTAAGGTTTGAGCACTGGTTTAACCTATAAACATATTTACGTATTGGCCCATTTAAAAATGTAACATCTAAAACATTAATCATGGCAAAAAACATTTTTATATAAATACATAAGAATCATCAAACTGACATTTTTATAAACTATATACGAAACCCTAAACGATCCCTATTAATTTTTTTGTAGCAAAATTATGTAAAACAATCCTTATACAGACAGTATAAGATACCCTGAGTTGCTATTTTTATTGCGGGAATTATATTAATGATTTCTATTTTTCAAATAATATTTATGAAGTGGATTTCATGTATAAATCAGGTAATTTATTTTAAATCCAGCTTAAATTATTTAAAAAACTATTTTTGCTGTTTTACTGTAATTGTATAAAAAGTAACAATTTTTTAACTTATTTTGATGAAATATCTATCAGCAACATATTTAATATATAAAATCTTCGATACTTGATTTAAAATTGTTTGCATCATTATTTTATAGTTATAAATTTTTTTAATAGTATAAAACAGTATTTTTGATTAAAATATAATATTGTTTTTAAAACATAGATTATTATTTCCGTGTGTTTTTTTATTTGCTAAATAATTTAAATTTTTATCCATTTTTCTCAACATATTTTTGTTGATATATTATAGTAATTATTTACTATTTTTGTAGCAAAAAAATAAAAAAAAAAAGCAATTTATTATAATTTTAAAGCTATCTAATTTTTCAAAATGCCAAAATTAATAAAACTTTGTTTTTAGAACTAGTTTTTATGAAATTTCTAAAAATTAACCGATCTCGATTAAAATTCATTCAAGAAAATGTTTTTTAATGTTTAGAAAATATGAAAAGAAAAGGCATTTCAGAAGAAATACCTAAAATAGAGAATTCAAAGATACCTCAGCATTCTTTTATTACTTTATTGTCAAGTATATTACGTTTGTAAAAATCCAATTTAACATTTTATTTATTTAATATTAATTAAAGATAAATAGACCAGAAGAAACTACAGCTCTTGCTTTTGTTTACTATCATAGATATCATCGGTGGATAGAAAAAATAAGCCAAGATGAATCATTATATTTGATAGATGATTATGTATATTTTGGTATTTTTTGATCTATGCTTATGTTTTAATATAGACATTAGCTATCTCATCTCTATCACTTGCATCGAAAGCAACAGAGCAGTTTCGACGTATGCGAGAATTCCTTGTTCCGGCCTATTCGTAGTTTTTATGAACTTTTTTCATTATTTAATATGTTCAGAATAATAAACCCTTCCAAGCCACGACTAACGTTTCCTTCGGAATTTTATGACTCTTTAAGGGATTCTGTTGTTAATGCAGAACTTATTTTATTAAGAGTTCTTAAATTTGATATAAAAATTATTCTTCCTTTTTCATATTTAACAAAAGCACTTCATTTAACTTTAACTACATGGCACTCTGAAACAACCGATCCAACACTTCAGAAAGAAAAGTACCTTATAAATACGGCTATCGGGCGTTATGCACGTTGTCGTATTATGGATGCGTATGTTCTTTAAGAACTTTTTTTTTATCTTAATTATTCAAAAGTATATCGGATTATCGACTTTCAACCTTATATGATCCACAAACATTGTCGAGTGCTTGCTTATGGCATGCTCTTCGTGACTTCAGGATATTTCCAGAGGAGAAATTCTTATCATGGGTTTTATTAATCACAGGAAGCACAGAAATACATGAAGACATTCAAGGTAGAAAGTCATATGTGATATTTTATCTTATATAATATAGATGCAATATACGATCTTGCTCAACTAGACTTAAGACGTCATGAGCAGAGGAAAATATCGTGGTTAGAAGATAAATCATGCTAGTTCATGGTTGTATTATAGTAGTAAAAAATTATAGTGATTTAATATAGAACTATGAAGTTCAAAATAGTAATGATTGGAAAGTAATTATAAGGAAAATATTGCCAAACTATATATTTTTATTAATATATTTTTCATAATTGTATTATAGTCTTAGAAATCCGAAGAAAAGATTAATCATAATACCAGCAATAATTGCCATTTGTCTCCTTCTAGAAAATATCTTTGGTTCCCAAATAAAAAATAGTACAATGATGCCCTAAAGAGAAAACAATTAATTTTATTTATTATTTTAGTTGCTTAAAAACCAACCCCTAAAAAACCAATGCTTGCACCGATTATTATATCCTCATATGCACCTTCTATACATCATGTCAATTATAAATGGATTTTTTAAAATAAATCTATGCCATTTACCTTCTTCTTGTCCAATATTTTCCAAAGCTGTTTGATTAATCCATTCCTCTTCCAATTCCGATGCAACATTAGGATCAGTATTCTGAGAATCTCTCCCATGAATCAGCAAAAATTGTTCACGTAAAAGTGCAATTTCTCTTTCAGAAAACCCAACTTCTCGTAGACGATTAAATCCAAGCGGTAACGGTGTAATATTTAAATCATGTTGTATCTTTAAACAAAAAAATCAGCCATATATAACAACTCAGAAGGATAAATACATTTCTTTCTTCATCTGCATCTACCTCCATTTCATCATTAATACTACAATGAAGCAATACCTCCGGCCGTCCTGAAGGTCGCCGTTTTAAAGCTTCCAAAAGCACTGCATCATTACGGAGTATTTTCCCAAGATAAACAAGTCTTATCCCTCGTGAAGAAAGTACTTCTGGACGCAGCTCCCGAAGCCGGGCCTTTAACTCTCTTACTGTGGATTCTTTATCAATACTCAACCATATGTCTTCGTCTCCGTTTGAAAAACGGATTATCAGTTGTATCTTTGTAAAAGAAGGTCCTGGTCCACCTGTAGAGTCCATTCTATGTAATTTTCATTTATTCTATCAAATTTTATTATTTTTCTGCAAACTTAAGGTTAATATATTTGTATAACATTTATATGTCGTTTTATACGTAACAATTATTACTTTGACGTTTGTTAAGATAACTCACGATAATTGTTAAGATAATTGTTAAGAAAGACAACGATAAATTTAAGGCAAATAATTTAAGAATATATATAAAAAGGAATGGAACAAGCATCTACAAGCAATCTTGAGCGTTATTATGAAGATTTCCAAGCAGTTTTATCAGATATTCGTAATCTTTTGGCAGAATTTCGAAACTGCGAGTCTGGTAACTTAAAGAATTGATCATATAGTTATTGATTAAAAACAGAACGGAAAAAAGTAACATTACAGGCAGTAGAACGTGCTATAGATGAAGCAGCAGAGATTGTAAAGAGTTATATGTTTTTTGTGCTTTTTTTACCAACAAAAATATGTAGATTGGACAAATGGAGATTGAGGTGCTCCATGTGCCCTTAGTATCGCGTCTGCAAGAGAAAACAAGAATAAGCAGCTATCAAAGTGAAATAAATCGTATAAGAAAAGAATTTGTTGGTTTTATGTATTAGTAAGTGTGTCTATTAATTTAAAATTAGGAATCGCTCCATATGTACGAATATAATGAGCACTTTTCATCAAATCAAGATTTGGAATCATTTGATCAAAGAAAGAGACTCCTTGCAGGAACAAGAAAGCTTGAGGAAAGCTCAGAACGATTAAAGAATGCACAGCGGATTGCAAATGAGACAAAAGAAATTGGTGCAAGTATCTTAAAAGATCTTGGTTACCAAAGAGAACAGATTATTTTGGCAAGAGATACGGTATTTCCATTTATAATGAGAAAGTATAATTAATGTGTTATCTAGCTTATTGAAACGGATGGTTATGTCGATAGATCAATGCGAACATTAAAAACAATGGCACGAAGGTAAGATTTGATAAACACTATATTGTTTAAAAACAAATCCATGAATATAAACGAAGGGCTAACTATTAAAGGGTAGTAACAAATAAATTTATAACGTATTTGATTATTTTTGTCTTAGTGTTTCTTATATTTATAGTTGCATGGTAATGTACTATATATTATTTTACTTTATTTTTAAAATAAGCATTAGGAGAAATTTGGGTTAAACATGGCCAACATTCCCCTGTATATAAATTTTAGGACTTATTGTTCATTATATTTTATTTTTCTTTATATCTTGAACATGTCTAATAATTAATAGTCCAAAAATAGATTATAGTTAAATAAAGAATAGCTATTTTATTTTATAAAACTTTTACTTTGAATTTGTGCCACTTTTGCACTTTCTTTGCCATCCAAAAAGAGAGCAATAGATTCTTCGACATCTTGTACATCAATTTCTTGTCTTCCGTTAACTTTTGCAAAAATGCTTGACGGTGCTAGAAGCTGAATTGCATATCTTAAACTAGATACAGTACTTTGTTTTGTTAGTATGTCTAAAGCGGCATCTGTGATTTGAAGTTCTTCTGTTTTTGCACGAAGACGAATAATTATTTTAATTTCTTCAGACGTATAAGGAAGTGTACGTATAATTAAAAGTCTATCTAAAAGATCAATGGGAATCCCATGAGGAGAGACGATATCCTCGGTTCCTCTTGTTTGATATTAATAATTCTAATTTTTCAAAGTAAATGAGTCTTACCTGATCACACACATTCCCCGATTTGATGCAAAAATTACAATAGGCGCAATGGTGGATTCCAAAGCACGGTTTAAATACGTAAAACACTCAATGTCAAGCATATGGACCTAAAAACAAATCAATTATACAGCAATAATATACGTAAACCAAAAAACCTCATCGATAAATAACACACCGGGGACTAATTCTGCAATTCCTTCATCAATATACTTATTTACTACCTTGTTTATCTCCTTTCTCAATTTATCTGTAATCTCCGTTCGCTTTTGTTTCATTATCTGTCCCATCATGGACATAATATCTTGTCCACCCTAACCCTCAATATAAAAGCACATAATAGATATTTTCCTACATACTTGAGGTCGTGTATTTGCTATATCTAGATCATGCAAAGTCACATTCTGGACAATTTCCTTTTTTTTATGCACTTCTCCTTTCGGAACTGGTACATATTCCTCTGCTTCAAGATCAAATTCCGTTGCATATGTGTCTGAACGCCCAACTCTCTATAAAACAAAGATTTTTAGTACAAAATGATAATTACTGTATAAAACAAAAAACTTACTTTAACTGCACCCGTATTCGCTTCAATATAAATCACGTCCCCTACTGTAACACGTTCTTTTTGGATACTTTCATAAATGCTTGGGTCAAGTTTCAACTGTTTTGTGCCTTTATATGTTTTAAGTGTAATAATTACATGTGCAATCGTTTTGCCATATCCTCCAAGAGGATTTTCTGCTTCTTCTGGAGTCATTTCTACAACTTCGCCTTCATAAACTTCTTTTGTTTCCCTGACACGCAAACCTAGCCAACCGTTAGTCAATCAACATTATTCAAAATAATCGAGTTAAGCCATGTGAGAAACAGAGACGAGATGAGTCAAAAGGAATGAATATAGTACACCACATTTTGAAATTAACGTGATAAACAGAGACATTGAATCTTCATCATAAATATTTAAAAATATTCAAAAAGAACCGGAAAAATAGATAAAAAGTATAAATACTTAACTGTCCAAAAGAAAAAATATGCATTTATAGTAAAATAAAAAAGAATATTTTTATTCTACCATTTGAAATATTAACCCGTATTTCAGTCGTTTACTATTCATTCTACTCATCCATCTTTTGCTTTACTCACAAACTCTGCTTCATACCGATTGCACGGCGAATATTTTCCATTAACACTTCAGTTTTTTTGATTTCTAGCATATATTAGTCAAAAAATCAAAAAAAAACATCTACAGTTCCACTGCAGTGCCCATGACAGTGTTACTAACCTGCTGAGTAGACTTCACTAGCAGCCATTGGGCAAAAAGGCACACGAACTCCAAGTTCATGTGCAACCGCAAGTGCAAGTGCTGTTTTTCCAGTTCCTGGCCCCCCTGCAAGTAGCAGACCACGACCTGCCATTCTCCGTGATCGAATTAGATCAACCACCACTCCACATGCCTGCAGAGTTAGTAATGTCTGCAAATATTCTGAAATTGTCAAAAGTACATCATAAATGCGCAAAATTATAAAAAAAACAATGAAAAAAAAAGGTATACAGAGGAAAAACAAAATACCATTCGTCTTTAGACATGTAATTAAAACTCGTATACCAATTCTCTTCTAGAATATTTCTATATTTTACGCATGCTTGACACACTGCAACATCTAATGACGTTTATACGGTCAAACGTACCTCTCGAGCTTGCTGTTGACCAACCCATCCACTTGCAACTTGTTCGGCAGTACCATCCTCCCGCAGACCTAATCCATGCAAATGTGAATGTGCTGCCACCCGTACTTCCCGTCCAACACCTACAAAATGCTATTAATATCGATTTTTAAATATCAAAACGCCAATAAAGCACTAAACACTAGGCTCTAAAATATTGTTGAAATTTAAAAATTATTCAAAAGTTGCTTCAAAACTGTTTTAGTATCTTTTTAAAATTTGCTTAGACTAGCCGTACTCCACTGTATCTTGTAGTTTATTAATGCTCCAAAATAAATTCTTACAGCCATATTTAATCCTGTTTGTCATCCAAATAGGATTGTATTTATACGAAAACTTTAAACATATAGACCATGTTTAGATTCAAAAATAAAGCCTATTTTCATTCTGGGCATCTCCTAACTTTTATTCAAACTCCAAATTTTTCTGAAAAATAGTCTTGCTTTTAAACATCTTCAAAGCATGTTTAAACATGGATCTTTTTATATTTCAATTTTATCAAATCATTTGTGTGTAGCATGTGTATTTCTGCCCAAACAAACACTTGTTTTTACAATATTTTAAACACAGCCATTTCCTCCTTTGCATTACAATCCACAGTGTATTTTGTTTTATATAGCCTGTGTGTCTTTATGGCATTTTGTTTGATTGCAGGAGTTTATCCTGAGCAAATCTCTCCGACTATGGCTTCAAGCGCCTTTTAAATAAACACGATTGCTCTTATTTACCTTTTGATAGTTTCATTGGATTCTTAAGCGCACTCGAACTGTTGAACGGGCACGAAGAAATTATACACATTCCGATGTATGATTAAACCGATATGCTATACAGTACACCATGAATACAATACATGAATACAATAATCAATATATTACTAATGCCAAATACAAAGAGACTTTTAATAAAATATCGTCCGACCAGATTCCACTGCTCAGACATCCCTCCCCCTCTATACAAATAGCCCTCCAAGCTCAAGAACCACGCTCCATATTCAGTGATCAGCCCCTTGTTCTACTTTATCTTGTATTCAGCAGCTTATGTACAAATGCTTAAAAGAAAGGTTCCGGTTAAAAGATTTTACTTAAGAAACGCCTCAAATAAAATATACACAAATGATTGATAATACATGTCCCACACATAACACCACTGTAAATATACCCATACTCGCCCCACTGATGAATTAAGGTGTTGAAAGAGGATTCCAAGGATCATAGACTCGACACGAGATCCGCGTATGTAAAGGAACGCAAAACTGGTAAATCCTGGCCCGAACCAGGCTGACACTCAAACACGACCCAAAGAATACCAAAGACCCGCCATAACTTTTGTCTAAACTAGAAACCAATCTGGAAACCAAGCCCCGCCGCCACATGCCCACTCCTGTCCACTCTTGTCCAAAGCCTCCTCCAAGCGCACATTCCCCGCCTGCCAATGACTCGCCCTGCACCTGCCGAGCGCTCGTCAATGGCCCGCCGAGAACCCAAGAACCCCAAGAACCCCAGGAACCTAGAGGACCCAGAGGACCCGTTTCCGCCCATTCCCGCCCGTTTCCAGAGCTCTTCCCGCTGCTAATCTTCGGCACTGCTCGATTCACTCGCTGACGACGAGTCCTCGCTCCCCGACCGACTCGACGCACCATACTTGCTGCCTGTCCTCATCAGCCCCACCCTCGGCTCCTACCCGTCAAACACACCGTTGCCCTTGTTTTCAAACCTCGAAAGCTGCCTTTCGAGCTGCCGGATCTGCCGTAGTTGCTCCGCCTCCGACAGCACTGTCCGACTCTTCTTTGGCGCAATCGGCTTCGCCCTCGCCGCCCCAATCGGCGTGCTTGGCAGTTGGTTCAAAATCACAAAGTTCCACAGCCGGCTCTGTGTCCGCGGCGTCATCGAGTCGATATCCAGCTCAATCTCATCCGTTTGCTAGCCCCCCCGTTAACACACCCCCTAAACCCCTGTCACCTACTTCCTCCAATTCCGGCATCGACTCCTTCATGATACGTAGAACCGTATCCAGCTTGCTCCCCGTCAGATGGTTGATCTTCTGTGCCAGCTCCGATCGCTGGTCAAACGATAGCACCCGCAGATGCTCCTCCTCATGCCTATACCCCCCTTTCTTCCCGCTCCGTTTCGGCTTCCCCTTCTTCGCCTTCATGCTTGCCCGCTTATTTCTCATTGCGTTCAGTTGGTCTGACATCATCGCTAGCTGCTTTTCCAGCTGCGCAATTCCCTCATTCTCGTCCATCTCCTCCGACCCCGTGTCCGACTCCTCCGTCGTGTATCCGTGCTGGTCCACCGGTCTTTCTTGCCACTTCTTATCAAAGACCGCCTCCAGCCGTTTCCCCATGTTGTACACCGGCGTCCCTACCGGGTTGAACTTGTAACAGTTCCTGAACATCTGCCGCACGTCGCTTTCAAACTCCTCTGCCGTGCTGTACACGCTGTTCAGCTTTCCCTGGATCGTCGACATATCCATCGGGTGCTTGACAATCTTGTAGTAGTCGGGGATGTTAAGTGCCACCGCATCTTCCAACACATAAATATAAACCCCTCCTGGGGGCCTTCTACATACCCACTGGGTGGTAGAACGGGAACGCATAGCTCTCGTGAGTCTTCTTCTGCAGCTCCTTAATTACGTTCCGACAGAACTGCAACTGCGCCGCGTTTTTTCGCCGGTGCGGCTTCGCCTCATTATATGGCAAGTCCCGTGGCGGCGGCGGGTGGATTTCCCGCCGCGGCCGGTCTGCCACTCCCCCGATCCGCTGTGTTCCTCCGCTTACTGTTGCTTCTGTTTCTGACTTTTTTCTCATCTTTGCTCCCTTTGCTCCTCCCGTATAGTCCGCACCCGGCATCTGCTCCATCTGCCGCTCAAAGATGCCCTGCAGCGTCTTAGCCATCCCGGAGATGGCGCTTTCTTCCCCGTTGAATGTGAAGCAGTTGCTGAAGACCAGCTCAACGTCTGCCCGGAACGTTTCGACGCTCGCATACAGTTTACCTGCGAGCTTCTTCTCGATCGTCCCGAGGTCCATCGGTGTAGTGATCACCGACGGGTATGTCGGAATGTTGAGCTTGACGGGGTCGACGGGCTGGTTGAACGGCCGTGCGTCTCTGTTCTTGCGCAGCTGCCGCACCACGGACACTGCGTACTTGTACTGTTCCTTGGTCATGCTGGCAACGGCAGGCGCAGCGCTGGCGGGCGGCGCCTCGCGAGGGTCGCCGTCCTCGGGGCGGCGACGCTTCTCGGCGGCCTTTGCGCGGTGCCGCGGTGAGGCGTCACTCGAGTAGGGCGGCGTCAGCGCAGCCTCTGTGATTGCGGGCGTCTCCTGCTTGGCGACGCCGTTGACATCATCAGCGCACACACGGCCCGTCTCGGCCGCTGCGCCGTCTGCGCAGGCGGTGTCGGTGGCGACACAGACGACGCTGTCGCCCATTCTGCAGACGTTCCGATGGCGCTCTCTGTTTGCGCCGCAGCGCAGCGCCGTGACGTGGTTAGGGCTCGTTGCGCAGCCGCGTGTCCGCGTTCCGCTGCCTGTGCAATGCACACTGCAGCACTGCGCACAGTGTAGTGTGCGCTAGTCAGCATACATTACACAGTGATACACGCAGCACTATACACAGCGCCACGCATATACGCAGCACACGCTGCGCACGCTGCGTGGGAGCGGCGCCGCATGCTTGCACGGTGCAGTGCACACTGGTATGCACGTGCATGTAGTGTGTACAAGCATACATATAGTGTGTGTACGGTATATACGGTATATACGGTGTATACGATGTATACGGTGTATACGGTGTGTATGTTATGGGTACATTGCACTACAGCGCACCATACACTGCAGCACACTATGGTGTAGCCCAGGTATGTGTATGCATATAGTATGTGCATGTGTATGGTATATGTATGGTATATGCATGATATATGTATGATGTTCGGTGTACACAGTGCAATACAACTAGTGTGTCTATATATGCATGTATGCGTGTGCATGCGTACGCATATGTATGTATAGTATATACAGTGTATATATGTGTATATATGAGTGAGTATATATATGAGTGAGTATATATGTGTATATACATGTATGTCAGTATATATATGCGCAGCATATACATGTCTGTGTGTATACATGTGCATACACACGTGCGACAGACCACTGGTACAGTGCATATGCGTGGTGTATGCACTACGGCTGCACGCTGTGCATAGTGCATAGAGTGCATGTGCAGCGGACGTGAGCAGACGTGTTATATGCACATACGCCCATATGCTATGCTGCACGTCATGTGTGCTGCACGCTGTGTGTGCTATGCACGCTATATGCTATACGCTATGTGCGTTGTATGCTTTGTATGCGCGTTGTATGCGGTGTATATGCGTCGCATTCGCCGCATACACTGCTATGCACAGACTATGCTGTATGCACTGCGTGCACAGTGTGCACACTGACGCATACACTCACTATATACACACAGATACACTCATATATAGATATACACTCATATATATACATATATACACTGACATACACGCATACACTGACTACGCGCATACACACGCACAACGCCCACCGGCACGCTGCATATGCACCGTACAGTGTAGCAATGTATGTACTGTATGTGTCTATAGTGCATACATTGCTACACAGCACGGTGCATATGCTGCTGCATTGCGGGTACACTGCGCATACACAACGCATACAACGCATACAACGCATACAAAGCATAATACATAGCATATATAACATATATAGTGTATATAAGTGTATATAATATAGCATACATAGCATACATGACGTGAGCATACACAACGTGTAGCATACATGACATGTAGTGTGCACAGTATATGGGGTATACACATGTATATATAATACACGCTACACAATACACGCTACGATGGTTGGATAGCACAGCTTTACAGCGTACAGCGATTCTGGTCTTCAGTGTATAATTTAATATGTGTGTAATATACACTGTGCAGGATAACTATGCTATGTGTATAGTATGTGCATGTATATGTATGTATATGTATGATATATATGATATATTTATGGTATACACTGTATGATATGTCTATGGTGTACAGTGTGCAGTATAATTATAGTGCATATATGTATATGTATGGTATACGCTGTGTGGTGTGCAGTGCACTCTGTACAGTGTGTGTACAATGTGTGTACAGTGTGTGTGCAGTGTGTGTGTAGTGTTATAAGATGTAGGTTGGATATATAGTATAAGTATATGATTAGGGTGTAGATTAGAGTGGAGAGTTAGAACGTGTAGTATATGGATGCAGCTATGAGTATGGGTATAAATTGGGTGTAATAAAGGTCAGTTGTAAATAGTGTAAATGTACGCATTATAGAATATATACTATGGTGTGCATATAGCATGCATAGTATAGTATATGCTGTATAGCAGTATATATAACAACGTACATTGTATGATATGTATAGCATAGTGTGCAAAATATGCTATACGCTACGTACAATATATATATACACTGTGTAGTACATTATGTATAGTACAGTGTATAGCGATGTAACGTATACGGTATGTATAATACAATGTCTATGGTATAATGTATAACACAACGTGTACACTATATGTAGTATGTATAGTCTATAGTATGAGGATTAGTGTATATACTATCTGTAATATATATGGCATGTATAGTGTGTAGCATGTATAATGTATGCAGTGTATAATCTGCACAGTGCACGTCGAACATATACAGTATAGAATCTGTATAATGCTTACAGTCTATACAGGCAGAGGTACTCTGTGGCACGCCTGCATGCATACGAAGAGTATACGTTGCGTGTGCAATATATAAAGTGTTTCAGTATATAATGCAGTATATAATGCAGTATATACACAGTATATACACAGTGTGTGGAGTGTATGGACGTACATTGTGCAGTGTAACAGAGGTTTTTACATTAATATAAAAAGAGATACAGTGCGTAAAATACACAGAAAAACTATACAGAAACTGTACAAGAGACAAACAGCCTGTAGTAGCGCCAACACCAAATACACCCAAAAACTCTATGTATAGATATGAATATATAGTGTCCATATATATCTGTATATATAATATATAATATTTAATATGTCTATGTATATGTATGTGTATTTGGCATATATGTATGTCTACGTGTATAGTATATATCTCTAATCTCAGTGCAAGGTGCAGAGAACACATCTCCATAGCAATTCTGCTCTCATGGGACACATATCTCTGGAATGTGTTCCTTCATATGCATTGGCAGAGAATATATACTGCACAAAAGGGCATATAGAGATGCATCGACTACAACTACTATCAAAATTGACAGTTTAAAAGTAATAAAAGTCGTAAAGTACGGAAATAGATCTATCTTAATATAAATTAACATCTCTGTTGTGACAGCAATATATGCATACACGTTGCATATAACTGTATATACGCTAAGGGACACACATGTACACGCTTGAACCAACTGGTATTTAAGTGAGCGTATGTCCTTAAATCACGTGATACAATGGAACCGTTAAAGTCACGTGCACTGAGAGGGTTAATGTGGTGGTAGTGAAATAAATGGAAAAAAGGATTGAAATAAGATATAGTAATTAAGAGTGATACGGAAAGGGAATGATAAGTTGGAAGCAATGAACCAAGATATGCATGAAACAATACATTTTAGACAACATATTTTGAATGTTTTGGTGCTTTCAAAGAGCTTCGGAATAAACCGTGAGTGCTGAAATGTATATTACACAGGTGACATAAACTCTAAGAAACAAAAGCCATGCCTAAATATAATAGTTTATTCTAGAACGATATTATGTCTCAGTGTCTATCGCGCAGACAAAAGAAAAGTGATCGTTCAACGTATCCCGATAGCCGAATCACGTGATTTTAAACAAGTTACGTGATATTGCCTCAGATACAGTAACTAGAGATACAGTAAAATACAAACAGACTTACACAAAACATTATTAGCAGTGTTAGAAAGAGAAACGAAGAAATAGATGCTGCCTGAAACCATTGAAGACAGCCCAAGACCAGAAAAGGTAGAATAAGAAGGAATAAATAAATATACTTTGAGACCAATTAAAGCTAATACCATCTACCAGACGGAATTTGAAATAATAATTCGTCTGCTGTCTTTTTAGCGGGCTGCTTATCCTGCTTTCTCTGTGCAGCCTCGTGCATCCGTAACCAATCGGGTACTTTAGAGATGCTACTTTTACTAATGGTTTGTTTGAGGTCATACATTATGTCAGTATCTTCTGGGGTTAAAAAGGTAATTGCAGTGCCAGACTTCCCGGCTCTCCCAGTGCGTCCAATCCTATGAGTATAATCTGTATACAGGTGAGGTAAAATCCGGGAATCAAAAAAGAAAGGGACCTTCAATGGTTTTAGCCATATTAAAGTTTACTACGAGAGACACATCGGCAACATCGATACCCCTTCCAGCAAGATCGGTAGCCACTAAACAATCAGCTTCGCCAGAACGAAGCTGTGCGAGAGCAGCTTCACGTTGTTCTTGGCTTTTCCCTCCATGCAATGTAACCGCATTCCACTACAATTGATTAATATACTTGCTACAAAAATGATGAAAAGTACACCAATACGAGCAAGTGACTTGGCCAAAGCATCGCAACTACGACGCTGATTGATAAAGATAATTACGGGTGGATTATAATCATTACTATTAAGAAGTTCTTCTAATCTTCGTCTGCAAACATATATTAGAAAGGATAGAGAAAAAGCTTTTTTTTAAAATACCTTTTCTTATCTTCTGTATTCATCATTTCAACAATCTGTACAACTGTATCAACTGCTTGTCCAGCATTCCCAATGGTCACAATTGCCGGTCGACGCAGATATTTTTTTGCAAGTTTTTCTACAGCAGGAGGCATCGTAGCACTAAACATAACTGTTTGTCGAAATCGCTCTTTACCTCCTATTATTTTAGACATCAACACAGGATTTTCTGCATCGTCATTATCAGGTTTCTGATTGTGTACAGGTAATGCATCTAAAAGCTTATTTACTGTCTCCTCAAAGCCCATATCAATCATGCGATCTGCTTCATCAAGAACAATATATGCACATTGACTCAGTACTAAAACATGCCTTTCGAGACAATCCAATAACCGCCCAGGAGTTGCAATTACAATATGCACACCGTCTCTTAAATTAAACGCTTGCTCCTCAATTTTATGACCTCCCACAATTGATACACACACAAAATCCATTGGTTCGGAAAACTTCTTTGTTTCACTTTCAATTTGTTGAGCCAATTCTCTCGTAGGAGCTAAAATGATAGCATAAGGACCATCATTCTTATTATATTCATCAAGTGGAGGAAGCGTAGAAATATATACAAGCATAGGAAGCACAAATGATGCAGTTTTTCCGGAGCCTGTCTCCGCAATACCAATAATATCACGATTCTGCAAACCAATAGGAATAGCTGCTCTTTGTATCGGAGAAGGCTCTTTATATCCCACTATTTCAACCATATCAAGAATAATTTTTGGTAATCCAGACTCTTTCCAATTACGTATAGGGTTTGGAATAGACCCACCTAAAAAATTAAATTTAATAAATTAAATGTATAAAATACCTTTCGAAGAAATATTAAAATCTTCTTTAAATATACGCCAATCTCTTTCTTTCATGAGCTCCAAAGGCTTTTCTGACCAATGTTTGTCATCCCAACTAATTCTAGTACTTTTCTTATATTCCATATCCATCAATTGTCTTGAAAAAGTTAGCGTAAAAACTATAATAAAAACAAAAATACTTAGCCCTGTTTTTATCTTCATCATTACCAGAACGTACGAGCATATCAATAAATGAATTCGTATAGTGATTATTACTTTTATCATCAAAACCACCTAATCTTCCTCGACCTAAAAATTGAGCACTATGTCTATTCAAATATATTGGATTAACATCGGATGAAGTATCTTCTGTATTATCCCAATCGAACACAAACTTTCTTTCACTTGTCTTACGCTTTTTTTTCTTGTTATCCCCTGTTCCCAAATATCTTTTCTAAAAAATATTAAAATCCTCTAAAATAATAATAATAATTACCCGAATATCCTCGACTTCTTTTTCCTCAGGTGTCATTTCAGCTTTAGCTTCTTGATTCTTTGATGATTTAAACAGTTCGGCAGCTTGCTTTGCCAAAGCATCTTGTTCTTTTCTCATAGCCTTTGGCTCAGTAGGAATCATTTTATTCCGATTTAAATAACGCCCATCTAAACACAAATCATTAGTATATTACTCATAAAAAAAAATCTACCTTTTTCCTTTCCACTAAGATTATCCTGAGAGTCTTTTAACGAATACTTTCTTATAATATCTGTTTTTCCAATTTGTTGGCGCTTTTCAACTTCCAAACGACGCTTTTCAAGAGCAATTGCTTCACGTTGTTCCCGAGTTAAAAACTTTGGCTATTTTGATTAAATAACAAAACTCACTAGATACATTTCTTACTCGATTCATAGCAGCTGCTTCTTTTTTCTTCTTAACTAACTCTTCAATAGATAAAGGCTCTCTTTTTTCTGCTTTTGGAATTGCACCATTCTTAGGGACAATCTCTGACGTAGATCTAGGAATTTCTGGAAAAAAAGCACCTGCAGAACAATTTACAGCTTTATTAAACCCATCATATTCGATTGCTCCAGAAGAAAATGCTTTACCACTAAAATTTTCAATAGAAGAAAACGGCTGTTTAAAACCATCTGAGCATAATGCCGTAACTTCTTTAGGTAATGGTGGAGGATAAGAAAGAGGTAATGGTGGTGGTTCAGGCGGTGGTTCAGGTGGCGGTTCAGATGGCGGTTCAAGTGGTAATTCATTTAGCACCATATTTTCAGAGTTACTGTCTAAAACAATCCCTGAAGAAAATGCACCATTTTGAGAGGAAATATTGTTCATGCTAGCATTTTCAGTACTATCTGAAAGCTTATTGAATCCATCCATTGAGATGCCTTTTACATAGATAAATAATGACCTAAAAAACTCGGTTTTTTTTCATTTTTTTTGATCCAAAAATAACATACGTTTTCTATATAATTAAAAGACCTTTAAAATGTATAAAAATGCATATTTAATATCCATTTCTACTATTTAACTAATTCTTTAGTTTTTTTTTTTATCGTCAACGTCTTACGAAATACGCACAGAACCTATAAATATTAATCATAAGTTTGAAAAAGATAGTTAAGTCTAAAAATAAAAAATACATAAGATAATAAGAACAAATACATTATTCCATATCTCTTAAATAAAACACCAAAATACTCAAGTGCCATAAATCTTCAAGTTTTTTTCTAGTCATTCATTTATACCATCTTTTGTTCCATTATTTTACGAGATAAAAATATCCTTTTCGCTTAGTTTTTTCTTCTTTTCCTAGAAAGATATCAATAGAGTTATATACATGGGCCAACGTACCGCTTTCCAAACAGCTATTTTCTGTGGTTGTTCCTCCAATGCCTTTTGTATCCGTGCAATCCTTTAAAAATTAATTTTTATTGTAAACCTCAAAAAAGCGAAATTTCAAATAGAACAATGCAATTTTTTATGCATAATTATACTTCTTTTTCTGTCTATCTGTCGAAACCTTGTATGCATTCAACTACATATGATGTAGCAAATAAAACCATATTAATGTATAATGTATTCAGAAGAGCACTTAACTCAGTATGTTAAGTTATATGTAAACATTGTCTTCTGTTTATACACGCTATGTCCTTTTTATATTCAAAATACATATATTTTATTATACGTGTCCCATATGTATATATTTTTTCATTCAATATACGCGCCAATTCTTCTATTTGCTCTTTTCATGCTTCTTTGAACACAGTTCTCATTCATTTCGCTCCATATTATTGATTTTTGTATCAACTTACCTCTGTGCACGTGTACGTTCGTCAAGAGTACCTTTCCATCGAGAAATACCATTCATTGGCGCTCGTTTAGAGTCCTTTCGAGTTGGCAACCATTCTGAAAAGCCATACCTTTCAGCCTCTTTACGTAATACCGCTTGACGGCGTAAGGAATAGATTGGATCTTTCCAACAACCAGTTTCTTTATTTTTAACACATTTAAATAGATTTGCAGCTGCTGCACCACCTTCTATACTTGCAGCTGAGTGTCTTCGTAAAAACCCTGCAAGCGTAGGCGGCAATTTCTTCAGAACTTTCGGATCCATTCTTATCAGCCAAAAAGTATGTGTATTTTCGTTTCTAAAAACTTTTAGTATATATTTGATGTTTATTCATTGTATATTCAATTACAAAATTATATTATATATGTATTAAGCAAAATCTATAATGTTTTTGAGTTTCTTAGAAATTCCTGTTTATATTAATAATCAAAAAATATATAAAATATTTAAATATGGAGTCGAAAATTTTAATAGAAAACCACGATTTATCGGTTCAAAAGCTTTATCGAACTTAAAATTAACATTAAATTAACGTGAAATTAATAGACATTTAAAACTTGGCAATGGTTATTATATAATTTAATTAATATATAATTAAAAGAGTTATTTAAATCAGGTATTAGAGAACTGATTTTTAAATTAAGCTTTAAGAATTTATTAGAGTTTAAGTGGATTTTGAAATTTTTAAATTTTATATTTTCATTCTTAATTTTTTATATTAAAACTATAAAGTTTTATTCTTTTAGTTTTTTTTAACAACACTTATTACTTAACTTTGATTAAAGTTATTCAACGTTAACACGAAATACTAGGATTAATTAAAAATATAAAAAATTACTGGAAGCTTTATTCTAACCCTAAAGTAACTATTCTGTTCTTTTTTTTTAAATTTAATTAAGATTTAACTAATTTTTATTAAGGATATAATTAAGCCTTCCTTAGGATTAAACTAAAATTTACAACTTAAAAAAGGGTTTAGAATTTAAAAGAAATATCATATTAAAAAAAAATTGTAGAAAAAAGACTTATTTTTTGTTTAATTTCTCTATATTTAATCAATTCTTATTTATTTTTATTACTTTAACTTTTATTTCTATTTTATCATTAAAGAAAAATGTTACTTGGGGTTCAAGCACAACTAGAAAGCTATTTGGTGATCTTATGTACATTAAGTGTTGCATGTATATTACGTCCACACAAAGTTCTTGAACAAGGTCTTATTTATGTTTTAGGAGATGCAATGAATCTGGTAAAACAAAGCTTTTGCAGCTGTAACAATATAACAGCATTTTAGAAGTTTAATTAAACCCTAATATCAACTTAATTAGAATATAATTGTGCAGTTATCATATAGCTCGTTACAGCTAGATTTCAAATAAACTGGAGCTAATTAAAAGATAGGCACGACCAAGCGAGGATCCAACATGTGTAGTAGTTGGTGGATTGCTGTTGTTTCAAGTATTTTTTATTTATCTTTTTGCATTGCTTAAAACGGATATGATGTTTTTTAAAGATTTAGGTAAATATATTTTCAAAAAAAAATCCACTTATATTATAGCACCATTTCGAACAATACAGGCTTTTGTATTAGTACTATGGATTTATTTTTCAAATAATCCAGCAATGTCAAATGGATTAACATTTACTTTTGCTTTTTTCGACTTAATATGGCAATTTTGGATGTTTGTTAGCTTTCGAGGATACAAACCACCGGTAAAAACATAATGGTAATGTTATATATTATACATTTGCATTGTAAACCATTATTTTTAACTATATCTTATCTATTTTACTACAACCTATAAAAATATTCAAAAAAATCTACACTTGTAGAAAGGATTCTAATACTTTTAATTATTGCTCGTAGAAACTTTCAGTTACACAACTGCTTTATTGACAATTGTTTCTATTTGTTTTCTTTTTTCCTTAAGATTCAAGTTCTTTGCATAAACACAACAAAAAGTATATAAGAATATCAGTATTATGAAAAATTAATTATTTAAAACAAAAAATATGTACACTACAATCAATCTTGTTTTAATGGATATTCTTGTATATGTATACCATTGGCTGTCACAATAAACGCCTGAAATTTATCACCAATCTAAAATTGTGATAAGTATTAGGTTATTTTAAATAAAATAAAAATTCATACCTGTATATGACGCTCAACAACACTTGTATATGTGTCAATGATCATTTTCATTGCATTCTCGAGAGACAAAGGAGTTGAAATACACGGCTGAAGACGTCCATCTACTATTTCATACTTGTTCTTACCGCCAACCTATAAAGTTGTGTCAATGATTGAAAAGAATACTCCTGAACCCCCCCCCCC